GCTTAAAAGCAAAGGGTGAAGGGGGGGGCTTTCATGTCGATCAGACTTATGGCGTCTTTGTTCCAGGAAAGCAGAAACTGTTGATTTCTGATTGCGGTTGATATTCCATCGACCCTAGACACTTAACGTAGTCCTCGATGCTTTCGACCAAGCCCAACTTCGCCCACGTGCGTCCGGCCCCGACTTAAACGGCCGCCCGCTCCAGGTGACCAGAGCGGATCGGACCAGGTGGAGCGGGGCGAGGCGGTGTCTGCGAAGGTCAAGGAGGGGGATGGCCTCGGATCCGCGCGGCTTCCCGGCGGTTTGGCTTCCCGGGTACGCTACAAGAACTAGGGATCAGTAGGGATTCAAACCCCACACCACCAGCCCAAACCGCAGTTGTGCCATTGTTTTGGAGGGGGGGGTTCTAGATGCGCCTGGCAAAAACACGGTGATACTCACCCCCCAGTGTCTTGAGAATGGGGGGGGGCTTTGCTGCCGATCAAGGGCCCCCACAAACTGCGTCCTCGTTCCATTGGCAATTTGACTTGTTTGACTTTTGTGTTGGTTTGGTTTGACTCTCCAACCTTCCGGCTTTCCCTTTTTTGCCTTGTTTCAATACTTGGGGTTGCCCTTGTTTTGGCCTTTTGTTGGCTTGATTGCAAATCTTGAAATCAGGGAGGGGAAGGCCCTTACTTGGACACAGTTAGTTGGTACCTTGTGGGGAAAAGGGACCGTCACTCCATGGTGAGTGGTGAGCTGTGCAAAAAATAACCTCACGACACGCCAACGCAATCCCAATTATTTGCATTCAGCTACATGTAGGGTCCCAGGGAGTGGCGTTGAGCCGCTTGAACGATGAAAAGGGTCTTGATGGCAAGGGTCCCAGGGGTCTGAGTTAGCTCTAGTCAAATTAACTTTGGGGGAGGGGGCGATTTGGCTAGGGGGGTAGTTTGCCATCTCATTATTTTTGGCTTGCGCTTGTCCCAAAAGGCTAACCTGTTGTTTCCAGATCGTGGCAAGTGACTCCAGGTATGCACCTCCAGGGGCTATGACGGGAGGCCATCACATATGCGGAAAGCTCGTGCTTCAACATGGGGCCTGACAAATGAACTGAAGGATCGAACATCGTCAAAATTGTTGATGGACATGTGCCCACACAAATGATGCCCACAAAAGGGCCTCCAACAAAGCTCGCCATCCTCTCTCCCCTTTCAGCATCACCAAAGGAAACTCTGAACAGGGCTCCAGGAAAAGAAACAAAAAGCGGAATGTGGAGACCGCCCAGAGTGGATGGTTGAAATTCAGCAGCTCCTAGTGCTTTTTTGCTTGGATTCTCGCCTTTCCCTGAGCCGGAACCAGGGCTCCTTCCAGGGTCTGGTGTTTTGGGAAAGGGCTGGTGCTTTACAAGATCAAGGCTTCCTTGAGGGCCTGGTCGATGAAGCCTTGTTTCCGGCCAAGTGGGAAGGTGGGAATCCACCAAACACAGGCCCTCAACTCGGTTCCGGCCCCTGGCGGGAATCCGCAAAAAAAAAAGCAAGGGCATGAACCCAATGCTACTTTTGGCTGGGTAGTTGGAAAGCAAACAAGATCTCAAAAAGTGGAATCCAGTGGAAGGGTAAAGAAACAACCCTCGGGTCCCCAAAAACTCCGTGTTTTTGAGACACGGCCATTGCAGCCAATGCTCAGCTTCGTCGTGCACGGAGGTTGCCTCGGAGTTTTGCAGTGTTCTCAAACAAGGGCGGTCGTTCTGGAAGGGTTCTACGGGTGCTGTTGGGGATACCACTTGGGACCCCCCCCTCAAAGAAAGGAGGGCACTCAGGCGGCTAATCTGTGCCCTGTGCTGTAGGGTTGGTCCAGGATGGACACATGTCTTGTCACCATCACCGGGCAAGCAAGGACGGGGCGAGGAGTCAAACGGGGTGCAACTTGACAGCCGGGCAATAGAACCGTCAGCCGTCATCACTCGAAGCACCTAAACGTCCAGCTATGCATCAGTGTCACTTTACCTTGGGCTTGCCTGCCAGAGATGCACCCTGCGCCTGCCCCCCTAGTTTGGGTGTAAGGGGTACTAGGGTTCCGGATCACTTTTCGGTGTGTGTCTGTCTTGGCAAAGTGACTGGGTCTTCCACAGAACTTCAAAATTGTTTGGAGCAGTGCAACATCCCTGTCTCCCAAAGATCCGTTCAGGTGCGGGATCGCGCGTTTGGAGATACAATACCATTGGCATTCTGTGATCTTAGGGTACCCCCAAGGAACACGGCCGTTTCACAAGGGAGAAAAAGGCAGACACCGGTGACACATGCGCCCAACTTCCCGGGCACTGCTTTTGGACGATTCCCAAGGCCAGGTCTTAACGATGTTCAGCGTGCGGGGTGATCTCTAAGTACAGGGGAAGCGGTCTTCGGTTCCCCTTGGCCTACTTTTGCTTCGCGCTGTGGGAGCCAGTATATCTGGGCAGACCTAGGCGTCCTGCAAACTTGTCTGATACTGCTTGCTGATCAGACAGCTAAAATGAGGCAAAATCTGAAAACGAAACAGACCAAACAAAACTCGCACAGTTCAGCAGGTAACGTTCGCTCCGGACTAGCCAGGAGGCCCCTGCCAATGAATGAAACCTGAAAAAACTTGACAATTTCTTCACTAACAGGGGGACCAGCTCTGCTTAGCACGGTCCGGATTCATCTGCACTTACCAAAAACTGGCTGGTGATTGGAAACCTCCATTCTTCTCGGATTCTCGGTTAGTAAGTGGGCTAAATGGCCATGGGTCCAAATCCCAATCGTACCCCAGTGCACATCCGATTCAATCCCCACTAAAATCCCGGTTCTAAAATGGGTGGTGAATTCACCAATCCCAACCAAAATGGGATCACATGCATGGTCTTTAGAAGTCCGATGCTCGTTTGCCCGTTTGACCCATTGGTTTTGACAACCACGGCTAAATTTGATCTCATCCCATCGTTTGCTCGCATCGCCGAGGGCCCGGCGGCCTCGGACCCCGCTTCACCGTCAGCTTGACGAGCCTCGGACGAGAGGAGGAAAAACTCGGCGGCGAACTTTCTGCGAGGCCCGGGGAAAGGCGGAGGACTTTTGGTTTTGGTTTACTGGATAAAACCGGGAGTTGAAAAGCTTAACTTTTGGTTGACTGGATAAAACCCACCAGTTTTGGCAAAAAGTTAAAAAGTCCTAACCTCCCTTGGCTACTTTTCACCAAAGTTTAGAAGATGCCTCCGGCGGAACCTTTCCTGGCCTAGGTTCTTGCCCTAAGAGCATGAGCATGAAATAGCAGGAGTCTGGGTGACTTTCTGAAACGAACCTTCAGCATGCGGCTGTACACCAACACCGACCTCGCTATAGTTTGCTGATCATAGGCTTCCAACAATACCTCTGATGTTTGGTCGTCGTGGGAATGGGCAAACTCACCAACCATCACAAGTGGGACTCGGGCTGGTTTTTCACTACCCCTCAAATCCCTGCTCCCAAATGACAAAGCGATTTACACTCCCTATGCAACCATTATGTCAAAGACTATGTGCCCCCTTGTTTTTCCATGAACATGGGCTTCTCAGTTGCCCAGTGGACCCAAACATCTAAGGTCAACCTTTCGGGGCGATGACAAAACAGGAAGAGCAAGAGGCCAAAAGGTCAATTCGTTTGGGGCAAGCGAGGCTTTCAACCGCAACGTCTACAGGTCTACAGGAAATTGGCCAAACACCCACCAGCACCAAGGATTTCCTGTAGAATTTCCTGTAGCTGGTGTCGTCGAAACATCTGAAACTGGATAGCTGTCCGCAGACGCGTGCTATTAAACACCTGTTGAACATCGTCTAGACATCCTCCTCTTGGCTCCTCTTCAAAACGGGCAGGATCCGGCTGTCTCACTTCCGTGGCACTCCGATGAATCGGTGAATCGCTGAGGCCTTGGCAGCTTTTGCGTGCACTCCCTCAGCATCGCCTCAGCACCTGGCGAAAAACACAACATGTTTGCTGCGAGAGAACTGGCGGACAAAGGAAAAAACAAGCCAGACAAAAGAGCAATGCATCAATCACCCACTCCTCGGCCCACATCTGAAGTACACAAGTTGTGTTTATTATATTTCCTGATTCTGTTTCACATTTAGTCCACCCTGAAATAAATCAGCGTGGGAGGAGGCCCAGAAGCAGAAGCCATGGATCAATCGCCAAAATCGACTCGACTCTATGACACGAGACGGTGTTCTTTCCTCGAAAAAAATCAGCGGGCCGGCGGCCTTAGAAAGCAAGACCATATTGCAAACTGCCGCATGCGTGGGTTTCACATATCCTGAGTGCCCAAGCCTATTGCACCAACTTGTCGGTTTATCAATAGGTAGCCTCCCAAACTTGGGACTCTTGGTCAAAGCGGCATATGGAGCCGTGCGTTTTCCCACGTCAGAATGAATGCGCTGTTCACCCCCATGCTTCGCTCAATGAACATGGCACATGTGTGGAAAAACGCACCCGCTGGGCGACTGGGCCTGAAAACCTGAAAGGAGAAAAAACGTGTCCGGTGCCACCAAGCGCTACATGTCCGCTTAAACAACATTAATGTCGAATTTGGGCCAAAAGATGATGAAGCCACGGGAAAAAAGAGAGATGTGCCCAAAGAATTCACAGCCCGTGCACTAGAGGGCAGTGTCCATGAACGGGACACTGCTACACTAGCAACAGCAATTTGCTGCAAAGCAGCCATGGGGTGCCAAAAACATGTTCATCTCTTTGGTTTCCCCAATGAGCATCTAGGGACACAGCTGGGTGTAACAACTTTTACGCATTCGCCGGCAAACACAGGGATTCTAAAAAAGTTGTCCTCGCTTTCGGTAGTATTGCCCTGTCTCACCCGAGGAACACTTCAAATAACGCCTTCAGGGTATGCAGCGCCCACTGCGCAACGCTAACAAAACCAGCCACTAAGGGCATCATGACACTCAAAATATACTTCCGCAAAAATTGCTACACCTTCAACACCTGAAAGAAAGGGCTTCCAAGTGAAAGACCTCTACATCATGTTGAGCTCAGCTCACCCGTGTGCAGGCACAAATGTGCACACGCACAAAGAGATAATTTTGCTTAGACCTCCTTCCAGGGCAGAAGCATGCAGAATCCAGGTTTATCATTGTCGGCCCATTTCCCACGAGGGCTAAGCTCTCCAAGTCTAGGGAGATGATCAGGAATCCCCTGTGTAAATATCACAACGCCATGGGAAGCTCAGTGAAAACGTGCCCAAAGTGAAGCTTGAAGCTACAAAAGGGCATGCGTACAAAGCTAGCACCTGCGCTTATTTTTTTAAAACAGCCCGCTTCAAACAAGTCCTGTTCCCAAGTATTCCCCACGCTTGCCAAACAGCAACATCGAAATTGCAAATCTAAAGGGACGGAAAAGCATGCGTCGGGGCAAGATGCAGCGGGTGGCCAACCCGACCAGGAACCTGCAAACGGCCAACCAAATGGCAAAGTGAAGGCCAACTTTCGGTGACTTTCTGTTTGCTTCCGATGCAAGAGCGGTCCACAAAAAGATATGTCCAGATACTACTTCACATAGCTCCCCCCCCAAAAACAAAACATGTTTTTGGAGACCCTGGGGTGTCCATAGGGCCCCCATCTTCCCGCCTGTCTCGTTGTTGATCTGAAGGATTACATCACCCGGGCGCAGTTCCCGGGAGACTGCCGGGATCGGCAGTCGGTTCAACGAAAAATCGGACCCGTTGCGAGGTGTTGAGGTGGGAAAAGGTTGAAACACACAATTTTGGAGGTCCCATTTTAGAAACACCTAAGTGGGAACCTTCTGATACAATGGAACATCCAAAAGATCCGGCAAAGAAAAAAGATGAGGATCTGTTGAAACGAGGGATCGTTTAAAATTGTTTTTATCTTCATCTCCCAAGGCCTGCTTTCATCCTGACTTCCATTCAAGAGTGTTTCCGTAGAGTAAAAAACAACATTCCGCAATTGGATGCATGCCTGGTGATATGCTCTATCTGGGCAAAACGGAACGCAAATCATGCATGCCTTCCGTTGTGCGAAGAACCGCATCAACGCAAGAACCGGTTCCATGGAACCGCAACTTGTGCGCCTGAGAACTGCGAGAAAACGCGGAAGAAGGAACAAAAACACGGTTGCCTGTGCATCCCGAGGTCTCTCAGCTCAGTGACTCTTGCACATGGTGTTCAGCAAAAGCTCGTTGGGTTGGGGTGTTTATGTGTAAATAGAACCCTCGCCTCATGGCTGATTTCTTTTCTCCTGTTAAAACCTGTCGATTAAGTAAACCAGACCATCATTCGAGCACTCTGTGGGGTGGCCACGGGAATGTGCTGAACTGGGCGGCTCAAGGTGACTAAGGGCTCCCGGGCACGCCAAAGCTGTTGCATGCAAACCTGCTGAATGTAGGAAGGGTTGCCGGGAGAGAGGGAGGTTTTTACCTGGAGCCGGGCCGAAATCAGGAACAAACATCTCCCATCTGAATCTGCACATGGGGAGTTGGAACTTCAATCCGATCTAGCATTGGAATTGGGGAAGCCACACGAATCGGCCACGGCCGGTTCAGTGGACCCAATCCATCTCGTGTTTGCGGATTTGGTGACGCCAAATAGGGCAGAAACTCGAACCTTGGTCCTCCAGAGAGGCTAGAAGAAGGGTACCAACTTTTTTCTGTGGTCTATTTTCGTAGGGGAACCCTCCCCCAAGAAAGGGTAAAAGGGCACTACTGGGGGACCTCTCTGTTGGCCCGAATGGCTCCAATCGTCCGAGATGCCAAGTGACTTTGGTAGACAAGGAAGCCACTCCAATGGCGGGAAGCACCGCGCCTTTCCCAGGATCTTGTTGCCTGTTCCACGCCTCGCGGGGAAAAAACCACATGGGACACTTTGATGGAAGATAAATTCCCGGAGACTCTGGACAAAAGCCCGCGCATTTGAACAAGAATCGGGACTTTGCCAACCTGCGTTGCACTTAAGCCTTGAGGCCGTTGCCATAGTTCGGCGGAGGGCAGGCCTGTATGGTTTTACACTAAGCATCTCAAGCTGGAAGCTCAGGGGAGCAAAGGATTCTGGATGCCGGGCAAAAAAAATCGATGGGGTGTCCAATTCAGCGAAAGCACCGGGTGATCAGCCAGATTGACGCCCCACCCGGGAAAAAGGTTTGGATGCCTTCAGGGCTTGAAAGCCCACCGCTTTAAGCAACAACCCCACTGTCCAGTGACTGTTGTGCCACTCACTGTCCTCATCAAAGCAACTGTTGAACTTCCTGGTCTTAATCTTCCATTTGCTTGAGCTGCCCGGAAAAAAAAAGGAAAACAAAAAACAAACAAACACATACAACCAGTAGTGATAGTTTTCCTTTAAACAGGGCAAATGAAAAGTATTATTAAGCAAATGGACGTAATTAATCACATTTGTTCAAGTCGACCCCTTTTACCGAGCTCCAGCCCTTTTGTTCCCTCAAACCCCCCACACGAGGAACGCCCAATCTTGCATGTCACGTTAGCACACTGCCATGACTGCCATACTATTGTCTGGAATGAAATGGTCCTCCATTCCTGGCAGGCCACTTTCCAAAACAATCTCACAATGCTATGGAACGCATACCGCGAAAACAACATTGACGCGACATGCAATACGCACATACATGTGACACAAATCACGGTTTGATGCGCGTGCGCTTGAGCTTACTCTGAGTGCAACACCCACGCGATCCCGCGCGTTGCGCTTAGAGGTTTGTTTCCTTTTCTATGGACTGGGTCAAGCAAAACTTGACTTCCGCACTCTAAGTTCCAGACCGACACTGCAACTTGGGTATCGATCAGAGGATCCTATGATATTTTTTCACAACTAGAAGTACACGTTCCGGGGGCCCCGACTGAAAATATGCTTAACGGGTCAAAGGGCAACCCTGGCCCAGTGCACCAATGTGCGTGTCTGAAACCCTTCGCAACCCTTGGTATGTCAGACAAGAGCTTTGTTCCTTACCCTCCCCCCGTTTGAAGGCTCAACAGGGCCACCCAAGTTGCAAACTAGCACATGAACGGCACACACAAACAAGCAACATATTAATATGACACAAACACAAGCAGTGTGCCTTTGGCACATGCCGTGTATTTGCCCCGAGCCAATGAGATCACTGACGCCTTGCCCAAAGGGATGAAGCTCAAGACTTTAGCTTTGCAAGGTGGCAAACCGCTGGAAACAAGAAGCTGCCCGTTGACCCAGTGCAAAACGAGCAGCTCTCTCTTCATGCGCCCTTGCACATGCCCCTCTGAGGGAATTCTGGTAAACACAACCAGACCAGACCTACTAAGACCTGCCACTGTGTGGCTGACCAATCGGTGCCTCCACTGCGCCACCAGGAAGAATGCCCTCCACCAGGAGCCCCTGCCTCGATCACGCCATGGATTAGCTGCGTGCGTGTTGGCGCAGCCATGAGAAGAGGACTAGCCCAAAACTGGATGTTCATGTTGGTTTCCCTGTAGCGCAACCTGAAAAGGGTACCCTCAAAAATTAAGTCACCCAACAACTCTGCGAACAGAAAGCTGGTCTATCACATGCTAGTTGGAGGAAGGTTATTCCAACAGCAGGGATCAGAATTGGATCCCCTGATTAGAATGCTCCTTGGGGTGCCTCCCAACTGGTTTTCCCTGCCAAAGTGCAGAACGCCCTTTGTTGAAGTCAGGGTCATCGTGTGGGGATTCCCGCAAGAAAGCCACAACACCCACGACACCTCTGATTCATCCGCCGGCCCCTTTGGCCCTGAGCTCAAGTTATGCCGGCTAGCCCCGAGCAAGCGCTCGACGTCTCTCACATGCTTTGCGGACTCTTCAGTGTCCACTTGCGGTTCCATGTTTACGTGAGAAAGGCATCCCCAACAAGCATGAACAAGGGGCCTTGTCAGCGGGATGGGTAGTCTTCCTTCTAAAACCCCCAAACCCTCCTGTCTACTTCTATCACTGTTGCAACAAGGCATTTCAAAAGAAAAGACCCTAAATGGACTCGAGCCCTTGATGAATCAACACCCTGCATTCACGCCCAACTTCAAGGGGACAGCACCGTCAAAACATGAAAACTCCAAAAACGACATGCGCAAGTTATGTTTGTCCGGGAAAAAAACGTAAATCAGTCATGCCCCTTGCACATTGGACCATAGAATTCTCGATAGTCCGAGCGACGAAATGAATGTGTCGTTTTTTGAGGGGTCCCCTGCGTCAGTGTTGGGCTGTGGCTTTCAATGTGGACCGCCGCGGCATCCAATCAATAGGGGCGTGCTCCCATCACCACAAGGGAGGACATCCCTGACTAATCAACCAGGGGGTTTTCACCACCAAAAGGGGCCACCCCCTTTTTATCAACCAGGGGTTTATAAATCGGGGGTTCCCAAAGAAGGAATCCTTCTCTTTGGTTTGGAGATATACAAACCCATACCCTGTGTGGGGACATGCAAACACCCTGGCCAATCCGAGCGGCCACTGATCACTTGAAGCCACGTCAAGGCCCATGTCCGTGTTGTCCGCCTGGCAATATCAACCCCAGATTTACGAAAGTTCGATTGCTGGACTGGGAATGCCCCTTCAGGAGGAACAATGAACAATGTATGTGCACTTATGCATATGTATATGTATCATGACAAATGGAACAGCCCCTATGCATCAAGAAGAGGGTGATCCATCCTGGGTGGACATTTGGCGACAATGACATGTGCGATCTTTTGCGTTCATGGTAGCAATGAGGCAGCTCTTCTTGAAAGGTCAGCAGCAGGGATAGGAGGGGAGCTGGGAAAAGACGGAAAAGACAGAGTTCCCCCCCTGCCCCCACCTCGGAAGAAAATTCACGGGGACCGGATTGCATGGAACTCCTACCTCTCCTCTGCTTGAAGTGTCCAGCCTGGTCTTTTGGCGCTTGAACTCAGCGCGACGAAGAAGCCAAAGCACCGAGAGACACTTTGAATTAAGCCAATTTCAGATGCGTCAGACAGGCACTGGCCCTCGGTCGTAAGCTTTGCGCTGATTGACAAAGTGCCTCTTTGGCAGTACCTTGAGCAAGGTGCTGCTATTCCCTGCATTCGGCTTGCGGTAACTCTCAAATCTGTGTCAATCAATGACTTTGCTTGCTCCGAAGGGGGAATCGACCAGAAATTTGGGAATGAATTCAGGGGCTGGCCTGGAATGAAACCACAAGGGATGGTTTAGGCTCCTCATGCCCTGCTGTGCACCAGCAAGGTGATCCTGAGGTCTGCGAGTCCACTACCGCCAACACTGCTGCAGGGGCCACCCAAACCCAAAGCCTTGCCTTCCGGATAGTGAAGGTGAACGTGGGGGCCTCCTGTCAACTCAGGGCAGCCCCCAAACAAAAGTGCCCAGTTCGGGCCAATCAGCCCCCTAACACCAGAACGGTCCTTAGAGCTGTAAGAACCACGTTGTGGGGGGCGGTGGTTCCCTCCACGGTTGTAACAAGACACTCTGTACGTGTAGAAGGACCTACCAATGGCCACTGAACTACCGGTGTTTCGCATGAAACATGTCCACCCTGGATGTGAGGTCACAGACTGGGCAACGGCTTGAAACAATCAGAGACATCAGAGTCCTTCAAATCGCAGTTGAGCCCTAAACAGCACCAATCAAACCGAGTGTCCACTCGTCTATGAGCCTGACCATAGATCAGAGTTGGGGAGAGCCACAAAGGCTCCAAAGTGCGGCGGAGGGGGTGGGGGGGACTTGGGCGAGAGGATCCCTCAACCTTCACGCGAGCCCCACACCGTGCTTCAAATGCGCCTGGGGAAGTCTGGCTGAGATGGATGTTGACAGAGGTCGATGGAACAAGCCGGGTGGTTGAAACCAAAGACAGTAGAGCCCCTTCTGTGGATGGACAACATCCTGCACCTCTGCCCACAGTATTTGGCCCGAACCACCTCGAATTTCCGCACCATCCAGCCAAATTATTGAGAAACATCCGGCAGTAAAAGAAAGGCCAAGCCTTTGGGAGATTGACGCAGTTGCAAGAAACGGAACAATTGACTAGGTCCTCCAGTAGAGAGCCTAGAATAAGGGTAACCTTTTTTTTCTGTAGTCTATAAAAAAGTGGGGGAACCCTCGAAAAAAAGGGGCACTACTGGGGGACCTAGTCAAGGCACCCTTGGGTCAAAAGCCGAAAGTAGCTCTGCGCCATGCCACGCGCTCAACCCCCGCCTCAGGTCCAGACAGGCCGGGGGCCGGCTTCACACCTGAATATCTCCCCGGCGAAAACTGTGGATGGACGAAATCCCACCACCTAAATAAGCCTGGGTGATGCTTCCCTGTAAATACCAACAAACAAATGGTTTGCTATGGTTTCAAAGTGGTGCAGGATTTCGTCCACCCACAGTAGGAATGGGGAAACCCAGTACTTTCAGCATGCCGGGCAATAAGGGAAACTCGACGGGTTTTCCCACACCAACCATCGAACGTGTGGGCTTTGTTGGTAATGTTCGGGTCGTTTTAGCGGGTGCAAAGAACAGAGGCACCAAGGCAGCGGTTTCACGCCCGCCTTGTTCAGTGGATTGATGTGGACTAAGGACGTGCTTTGATTGCATGGTCACCCATTTGGGCAAGTGACATCGAAACCTCAGCGACCAGGGTTGTGACCAAGCACCCATGGGCCCTTTCTTGGGTAATGCTTATTTCAATGTGCGCCAGTTTGGCTTGGGTATCACATTGCGAAACCCCGCGCACACTATGTTGGCACTGCCGTGATGCTTCCATGGCTTGCTGAAATCCACTGCGCGCTCAACAACTCGAAGCCGAACCTTCCGTCCAATCTAAGTGGCACCAGATGGCACCAGCCAATGGACACAACTGGAGGTGTCAACACGCCACTTGCGGACTTGAGGCTTTCAAAGCCCCGCTGTTTTGCTTTGAGTTGGGACCCACCAAGCCCGTGGAGGGGGGTAAAAGGGAGCCAAACACTTGACCTCACAAACGACGAGTTTTGCACTACTCACATCCGTTGATCTCCACGTGGCTTTGGTCCATGCGCGGAAACGCCACGCGTTGCACCCGCCCTGTTCAAGTCGTGGCCGTCTGGAGCCACCCGGCCAACTAGCAACTGCGTAGAAACATTTTGGCACTGAGTCATTCACTGACAGTTCTTCATGTTGCGCCCCCTCACCAACAGCACACCGTACGGTGCTGATGGCATCATGACCCAAATGCAGACAGTTTGCTGTCACAGGGCTGGTGTGGGAACTCTTGCATCATTAACCTCGCCAGGCTCCATCACGTGTATGACTTGTGTGGGTCATGCGAAGAGGAATGCATACAAAAGGGGTGCCGTTTTGTGGGGGGATCATCAACAATGTGTCGTGTCTTGTACTTTTTGATGCTCATATGTTTGCTTTGACACTTTCTTTTTGCTAGGAACAACTTAGGGCTGGCAGGACTTGGCTTCCCATGCGCCCCCTCGATTGCCAATTGGCCGACTCAGTCTTGGGTGAGGCGCGCTACTTTGAGTTGCGCATGCCGAAGCGCTGATGGGCGCGCGCCGGTTTCCCAGGCGATTCCCGGACACGGACTGATCGTGCCAAGACGTCCTGGGTGTCAAACAGGGGGCCTGAAGAAGAAATTCTCAACTTGCGTATCCCCTCGGCCTGGGAAGCCAACAGTGCAGGTTGGGACAATGTTGCAGGCCTGAAGGAAAAAAAGAAAGCTTCGGGACGGGCAATGCCAATTTGGTTGGGATACAAGCGGATACAAGGAAAGCACTCCCAAACAACAGTTTAGGACACCAGCTATGCTGTTTTGGCTGTTTGGCCGATTTCCTGTGAGAAGTTGCTTTAGCCGACCTCTATGAACCGTGGAACAAGGTGGAAACGGCTCACCTGCCCTCCTGGCAATCTCGCCTGACTCCCCGGACTCCGCCTCTGACGTGGACCTGAAACCATTGAAGCGCAAGCTGCACAGCCAGCAAGAAATTGGGCGATGGGGAGGGGGGGAAGGCAGGGGGGGGGGGTGGGGGAGGGGGGGAGGAGGGGGGAGGAGGGAGGGGGGGGGAGATGCAGGGAGCTTAGGGATGCGAGCAAGGGTAAGGACTCAGTGCCAAACCAAACAGCTTGAATGTTTGCTGTGGCGGCTAGTCTGGGGGAAACTCATGTGTGTCTCGAGCAGTTGAACATTGCAGATCCGAGCCAATCACACCAAATCATCTGACACGATGTGAACCCTGGCCACTGATTAATGAATGGATAGGCGCTGGGGGTGCCCCGTCTCAGTTGTTTTGGGGGAAACACCTCTGATATTGATCCATGGGGTTGATGAATTAAGGGTTTGCAACAATAATAGTTGCCTATGCCCCTTTGGAGGTCCAAGTTGGCCACCCTCCGCCAACACGATGCGCAGAGTCCGCAAACCAACATCTACGAAACAAAATTGTCATCATGTGACATGAAGGGGTTCTCGGTGAAAGTTGACAAGTCGATTCCCCTATTTGGGCCTAGTAAACAAAAAGTCCCATGTGCTTTCACCCGGGAGCGTCTTAGAATTCTCCCCCAACAACCTGGTAGTGTTCCCTTTGTTGTCCCTTCACCAGAAAGGGTACCGTCAAGAAAAGACACTGGACGTATATTAATGGTGGACGGTGGCTCCCTCCGGAAAACGGAAGTGCAACTTTTGATACCGACCTTGGCGGGCTCGAAGCTGTACGCTGAACGAGGTGAACCGGAAAGAGCTCTCCAAGCAGGCTTGCACCGTTCGACCTCCCTGGAGCTTTCTTCGAAACCGGATTTTTTGAAGGGTACATCCCAAAACCGCCTCAAAAATTCGGACCTATGGCCGCACATCTTGTAAGGGACAATGTTGAAGGAGAGGGACAACCTCAGTTGCCCCTTAGGGACCTGGAAACAAAAGGTGCTCACCTTTTGGGTTATGACAAAGAATACACCAACACAGGAAGACCAAAAGGTGAAAAGGTCGATGCGCTTTGGCTGGGCATTTTTTTCACCATCAAAGTCACCCCCTAAATGGTAGGTTAAAGGGAACCCACCCCAGTTTCTGACTTTGACAACCCCCCCAAAAACAGCTCAGTTGCCCAAAGGATCTGCAACTAAAAGGTTAACCTTTTGGGGCCATGACTAAATATGGACCAAAATGGGAAAACCAAAAGGTCAAAAGGTCGATTCGCTTTGAACAACTGAGACAGTCAAAAGAATGACCCCCGTTTGGGCAAGTGAGTGTGCAACCCACGACCCGGTTTCGGCTCGAAGGCACCGGCCTCGTCTCGGAGACAGCCTACGGGGTGGGCGTTTCAGGCGATTTTACCCCCCCCCCCCCGTTTGCCGGGGGGGCCAGTGGTTGGTTGTTCATGTTGGTTGTTTGTTTGTTTTTTTGGTGTAGATATCCACATTAGATATCAGTAGTTTACCGATCTGTGTATGTGCGGCAAAAAACATGTCATTCGTTTGGGGATATCTACCGTGAATGGACAAAATCCAGTTCTTTGGCAGGTCAACCCATAGTTGCAGGGGTTCCTTTTGTCCCAGCAGGATTGTGTTCATCAGTGTGATTTGTGCGTCCAGGCTATTCCTGGCCACTCCAAAACCACGCCTTTGGAGTAGAGGAAAAATGATGGCAAGCAGCTTGCGGTTCCCCTGACCAACCTCCAAAATTGCACCCTCAACAAAAAAACAACTCACACACACAAGCAAAGAAAACGGGTCGACCTTCGACTAACATGCCTTAGCTTACTGGAGGCAACTGGACATCGTCTCAATGTTGTGCCTACGGCGGCGCAGACAGAATGTGCTTGGGCAGGCCTCCCCCCTGCACAAGTTGATCTCTGCTGGTTGGAAGGACACATGACACAGAACCAAACAGGCAAACCTTCAACAGTCAGGCTAAGTCCGGCAACAATTGTTGAAACTAAAACCATTTCAAAAACTAAAGCAGCCAGCCCACGCCTGGACTCAGACAAACTCCCCTGGAAGCACCAAAACACGCCCAAGAAGTACCCCGAGCGTCCACCCACAGGATCAGGTTGGCCAACCATTCATTTCGTGGGTACTGCCAAGCTACAGCTCCCAAGCAGCAGTGAGAGGGCTTCCGATTGGGCCTTGATGGATCACTCATGGACCAACAGGCCAAAAGCCGAAGCGAAACAGAAAAACGAGCTTCAACCCCTTCATGATTTCCTCATGTCTACCAGCATCAACATCCCAACTCATTTCTATGAGCTTCAGTGATTCGCACAAGCCCACCATCTTCTACATGCTCAGCGCACCTGTCCAGTTGTTCAGCAACGCCGCAAAACATTCTCCAACGACTTCCCTCTTCTCCCTGTTCCGCACCAAGCCACATAGTTCTGGCAGCTCAGCACAATGTACAGCACAGGTCTTCTCGTGTTCAGCAATAGGCCTCAGACCTCGTTTCTTCTTAGCTCTGTGCCACATTTGCTTCTCGTCAATTGCATATTGGCCGTTGCCGCTGATGTGACATGGGTCCGTGGTTGATGCTACCCTTTTCAGGCAGGTTTGAAGGGAAACCAAACGGACAACCACCATGTTGTTGTTCCCCCCTATTTTGGCAGATACCCAAATCAAGAAGCACCAACTCAGCTCATGGACGTCACGGGTACATGGTCCAGCCATCTGAACCATTCCACGTTTCATTGCGTGGCTGCTTTTGTGAGAATGTGGAAACCAAACAGAACCTGGTGTTTCTGTGGCTTGTTGGAGAAAAGTGTGCCCTCTGTTTTGAGAGCTCCCGATATGGGCTCCACCGCATCACCGGCGCCCGAGCCTGTGGTCGCGCTAGGCTACGCAGCACGTCTGGCAGAGCCGTGGGTGGCACGGTGGCCCCCGAGAAAGGCACCGAGAGTCACGTTGCAACGCCGTACCTTGAATGTATATTTGCAAACTCCTTCTTACACACACATGTATTTATACATATATATATATATATATTCATATTGCACCTGTATACATATATGCATTTATAAATGTATACATATATATAGCATATACATGCATTATTTGTCGTATCCAAAATTACCATGCCGCCGGTGTTCCTGCGCTTCTCAGTAAAACAGCTTCCATTTTCACAGAGCAGCTCAATGCCCTCCGCTTCCATTTTCTCGGGCTCTGAGTAAATGGTTCACCAGCCCGAGGTAAACGCCAGTCAAAAAGAAGTATGGAACCTTCGTCCTGCGTATGGTCGCTCTACTCCCACGAGCAGCCCACATGACTGGCAAGGGAGCCCAAAAGGGGTTGAGTCCCGAATGCGAGTAGCGTAAGGCGTAAGAATATTCTATTTTGGACCCTTGTGATCCCTGTTGTGGCATTCCACAGTTCGGACGCAATCCACACATGCATACTGTACATATGCACTGCAATTGCAGTGCGCATATGTCAATGCGCCGCTCAACACGACACCCTAATGGGTTCCGAATTGTCCCTGAAAGAGCCCCGGTGTTTGACAATCACCCCCCCCGCCCCCCGAAGAAACAAAAACAAACAAACAAACAAACAAACAAACAAACAAACAAACACACAAACAAACAGCATGGCATCTCCAGCGCTGCATGGTGCCTCGACAGGCTGACGCAAAAGCCTTTGGGAACATGTTGACAATGGGGATTCAATGATTACTTGATTACTTGCAACCTGCTTATGGGTCAACCTCGGCAGCAAATCGCTGATTATTTGCATCCCCAGCATCACCGGCAGTACTTGGGCGTAGGGTTGCCGATTTGTGGTGGCAACTGAGAGTATTTACTGAGGGTGGGTCTTGGCTTGGTTTGGGGTTGATTCAGGCTCAGCAAAGGGCTGACATCCAGGCTGCTTCTGGGTGGGGTTAAGGTTGGAGCTGATTTGTGTCAGGCGTGCTGCTGGTTGAGCAGTTGCTTCAGGGTTGCTTTAGGGTGTAGCTACTTGAGTTTTGGGCTAGCGTTGAATTTGGTGCTTCAACATAGACTGACTCGGCGCACGCCTTCGCCAAGGTTGCGCAGGGTTGCCATGGCCGCCCTCAGCGTGCGGTTTTCCTGGCTGAGGCAGGGCTCGCACGGTGAGCCACCACTCATTTGGCGTCTGCCGGATTCACCAAATTCCCCGAAGTGGTCTGAACCCACACTAAACAACAAACATCCCCGACCAACATCAGGCAAGGGTTTTGCACGCTGGCATCTATGGTCCAAGGCAGCAGGCAAAATTCAAAGTCTGGCTGAAGCTCCTATTTAAGGTTTGCTTGGAGGAGTGCTTGGAGGTACTAATCAGGGGTCCACAGTACAGTGGTTAAAGTAAGAAAGAACAAGTGGTCAGGAAACAGGCGCGCCCGAGAGTGCGAGCAAGGAAGACCAATGCCGCGATAGGAAGTCGTTTTAAATGAGCGTCTACCATCTAGGATTTCTTCATCAACATCCCTGCCAACCAAACCCAAATGGGGTTCTCAAAATGTGAACCTGGTCTGGCTGGCGTTTCAAGAGAAACCAATGTGAAACACGGCATTGTTGTTGAGGTCCCAATTTGAGAAGCACCGACAAAAGAGGCAGTGACTTGAACTTGTGAGTTGGGCACTTGCATTGCTACGCCATGTTCACCTTGGCAGCTGTCAGTAGCTCACCCGAGTAGGGTGCCATAAACAAATCCCTGCTCTGAAAACATGAGGCACTGCGATCCTGCTTTACTGTTGCTTATATTGCGCGCAGTTTGGTTGTTTGAACGGCCTAAGTAGCCTGCGTGAACCTCAGCGCCGTCAAGAAACATGCGCTGGTGCCTAAAGCTGTGAGATCGATCCCGCTCTGGCTGGAAAGCGTGGGGGGGCCAGGCTCACCGCTGCAGGCATGAGGGTCCCTTATCAAGTATGCCCTTCTACATGCGATGTTAGGACACCTCCATTGACAAATCAGGCACGCCATAGTGGGGCTCCAGGATGAAGCCGAGCAGAGCCGGCTATGCGAAGCCTCATTTAGGCTCGTGGCTTTCTTGCCAGCAAAACTCGCCCCCCCCCCCCCCCCCCCGGGCACTTTGTAGATTCCGTCCTCCTCGAGCACGGCGATGCGCTGTTGAAGCATAGCCTGTGCCACTTGAAGCAAAGGATGGTGTCCTAATCCTTTGGAACTAGAGTGGAAGTGCTTTGGATGATTTTTGAGAGGGGGTCACTGGATGTCCCTTCAAGGGTTGCGATTTACTGGCGGCGTCCATTGAAACTGCCACTTCTGGATGTTCTTGTCCCCAAATACAGCTCAGAATTGGTGAACCAAGTGGGTCCAGTCCAAGGCACCCCGAGGGTGCTCGAAAAAGCCAACATGTTGCGAGGGAGGAGTATAACAATCAAGCCTACGAACCTTTACCAAACAAACACGTCTTCTCAGAGCTCACTGCGAGTGCTAGCTCGATCTGCAAATCGCAGTTCCAACTTTCTTATCCTGTTTATATGACCTCAGTTGTATATCCAATTTATTTCAACATCTTTGTCTGTCTTTGCACATTGAAGTCATTGGGTTCGTCTCCAGGTTGCAGCCCCATGTCTGCAGGTGCTGCTCAAGCCGGCTTCCCCGTATACCACCCCCAAGCCTAAAACACACGCCCCGATCCCATCGGGAAGCGACGCGCGCCGCGCCTCATCCGAGGTCACCACCTTGGACGCCTGAGAATTCCCAAGGCATCCCCATCCCGCAGCCTGGGATGGCGGTTTTTCTTGGCGCGAGCCGTGGGTTCGAGGCCGTGGGTTCAAGCAACGCCCCGCCCAGAAGAGCCACTTGGCGCATACTCCCCGTGCCAAATGGAAACTATGGCACAAATCCGCCTTGCTGATTTCGAGGACCTGGTCAAGCAGGTAGCTGTTCGATGTATCCTTCAAGGGATCCTGTAACCGGGATCATTCGAATTTCCATGAACAGTCGGGCATGGCCCTTTGTACATCCACATTCGGTTGCCAACAGGGTCCAAGCCCAAAAACGCGACGCAATATGAAGGTCCGGGCCAAAGAAAAGGGTTCCAACTCTGGAACCCGTCCCTTGTGAAAGGGATGGGTTGATTATGAACTGGGTATGTGGCATAACAGGGACGTCCTCCCACTCGAAGGCTTCTTTGGTTTTCTCTTTTGAGCCAGCAAAAGGAAAGAAAGAAGGAAAACCACACACACACACACAAATCCCCTTTTTTAGGGGGTCCCGGACGGTCAAGTTGAGGGCCCAGCTGGACCGATGGGGCTCAGGACCGCCTCGTGAGCATGAAACATGCGCAGCGCAGGTCTGGCTCGACCCTTTTTCCAGAAATTATGGAAGCTGGCAGGAGGGTCTGGAAGACTACTTTCCATTGGGGACACCCCCCCCCCACTTTGGCCACTTCCGTGATTGTTGGACAAGGGTACCGCGTTATTAGGGCTTGCCTGGACTTGAATATTAATGCGGGACTTTCTAGTGGACAGCATTTGGATGGGGCACCACTTTGGAAGGGCGTCCCAGTTCCCTATTGGGGCTTGATTCATTGTTTCTCAAACTGAAATGATACTTTGGTGAGCAACCCCACATTTCTCCGTGGTCTGCCGGCACGGACGATAGCTACCACCAATAAGATGCCTCCCCAAACAAGAAAATACACAGTCTGACCAGGGAACCTTGCCCTTTCTTAACACCCCGAATCTTACAATTCAGGGCATCTGGTGCATGTACGGACACACTGACTTGTTTGTTTTTGGGGCCTTCTCCTTCTTTCCCCCTCCCCCCAAAAAATCGCTGCGTCGAACAGACACTGTGCGCTATCGCAAAGGCGAAAGGCATCTCTAGCAGGGGGAGGGGGGGGGGAAAGACAACAGCATTGTGCAAACCATTGGATACGAGCCAACGCCGGACAAATTGCCGGACACGCAGCTTGGCATCTCTCCAATTGATGGCTTGGATTCTTGGTTGCTCTTGACCTGCGAAAAGTTTTCCCCCACGTTCCCGATTTGTCTCTGAACGAGACAGCGAAAAGGTCAGACAACCATTGGTTGGCGGTGCGGATTGGAAGCCTTGGTTCTGGAGGGGTAACTGGGATTCTAGCCTGAACAACTAAACCGCCAATCCTTGACTGCTATTGGGTTGGATCTTTGGACTTGAACTTTTTTTGGGGGGGGAAATAACGGTGTTTTCCACTAAACGTTGCGTCCTTGGCCCCAAGGGGCTTCTGCAGTCCTCATCCAGAAATGTCAAGTGGCAATGAGCAATGAAATAACCAGGGTCGTGGGAATTGCCCACTTCTGTGGCCCACATCTGAGGTACACATGAGCGAGCGGCAAAACCTAAGACTACTTTGGGCGATTCGAATTGAAAGTTATCGTTTTTGAAGATTTCTGACACTTGTCTTTGGGGGTGCACGAAAGTCACCGAAGACATATCTCTAAGCTCTGAGACCCAAGCCTTCATTGCCACAACTGCTGAGAAAAATCAGTTTGCACCCCCAGTCGCCAAATCACTTAGCACAGGCCATGTGCCAAGTGACTGCTACTCACAACACACCTTCCAAAACAAGAAAATGAAAACAAAACACAGGGTTTGGGGGGTCATTCCGAACCCCTGATCAACATGGGCCCGGGTGCTCCGGAGGGTCCCCGGAAGTTCTATTCATTTTCAAATTCAACGATGTTTCCAAGCATGGACCCAGGACCATGCGGCACTGAACACCTTCAGGGACGCACCTCTTTCCCGAAGCGCAAGGTCAGCAGTCTAAGGGTGGAGCTGACATCTTGGTGACTTAGCAAACAAAAGAGGCCCCCTTAGTTAAATGAAAACATAAAACCAACCTGAGGTTGCAAAGCCAGTGACCCAGTGGCGCCAGAAAAGAACCGTGAGAGACAAAGGAAGCCATCAATCTTCAAGCAAACTGACAGTTGACCCAAAAGGACATCTATGCCCTTGGAGACAAAGAACATGTATGATGCCAAAGTTGAACTGGCACAACTCTTCCACCAACTTTTGTTGATTCAAGCCTGAAGCAAGGAATGGCTGCCTCTCCCAGACTTTCTGGCGAGGAATTGTTTTTGCATCTCCGATGGATCTCGGCTCCGGCCTCGCTACGGCGACCTGGCCCGAAGGGGTTTGCGACATTTTGCTCGCAAAAAGGGGCTCAGGGTGGTGAAATGGCCATGGGTCAAAATCCAAATCGTACCCCCAGCATCCCAATCCCCACTACAATGCACTAAAAGGGGTGGTGAATTCACCTACCCCAAAATGGGATCCCAAAACGGTTTTGACACCCACGGCCAAACAAATTTGATTTAGATTCTTTGGCCGACTAGGCTTTGCTTTGCTGTATCTTTTGTTTGCTACGGCACTGCGACCGCTCTCAAGCAAGAGTGATGATGTTCATTGTGGAACTGTTGCAAGACAAACGCAGCTACAGTGCCAATCCACTCAGGAGGGGGGTGCGGGGTTGTCAAAATGATGGGGCCGTTTTGGGTATCCCCTCTAGAAATGCGGCACAAGGTTTCAGGGTCCAAATTACGACATCCAGCGTCGTCCCATTTGCAGGGCCACCCCTAGGGTTCAGCTAGGTACACGACGCCTATCACGAGCCAAATCCCTTTTGTTCTCCTTGGTTGGTCTTCCCCCCCCAAAAAAAGGTCCAGAAACTCAGGACGTGAGACAGGATTCCCTAAAGGATACATCCAACCACCACTCTTGCAAGGTGTATCCTCTAAATTTGCTGGTGTTCGAGTGGTGTTGAAAGAAAGCCCAAACTCGTCTCCTTTGAGAGGCCATGCATGAGCGGGTTTGAACCGCTTCGGCCTTCGGCTCACAAGCCGCCATAAGCCGAACCTTCCGACGCGCCTTCTACAGTCACCTTGAGGGGCTCTGGCCACAAGGGCCCCAAGCCATCGCCTAAAACCGCTCGCCGCGCCCGAAGTTTTTTGCGGGTGCGATAGGTGGGGAATGTGGGAATGAACCCGGGGGTCCCCTTAAAGGAAACCACCAGTTGGATGGCTTCTAAAGGTCATTCCATTTCTCATTCCCTGCTGAGCACAAGCAAGAAAAGGTCGCAAGAGCCAAAGATCACAAGGGCAAAAGGGTTAAGTTGTGTGATCTCCAGACTGAAGGGTGTTGGTTTTCCGGTTTTTCGGGGCCTAGTCCACTACTCTGCAAGCGGGGGGATTTGCAACCATACTCCCCTGCAAATAATAAGATGGAACCCAAACGGCCTGTTCCCCCCCCAAACAAAAAGGAGCTTCCTGTTGAAATCAACGGTGCCGTCTAATTTTCAAGCTGCTGTAATGCATGCAGGTTAACCACCGAAGATCAATCATGGATTCGCTTATGCTCGGGACAAAGAGTGGGGAATATTGGTTCTGCAGAAGCTAAGCTGGGTGCCAAATAGACCAAGTAACTGATCAAAGGACCTTCATCAGGAGCCCGAGCTCGTTTCACGCCCGAGCTCCAAATATGCCGTTGGTCCGAGTTCCGTTCAAGTTTTGGCCCCGGATGGCTTGCGAAAGCGACGAAGGATTGGCCACCAGGACGCGAAGCCCTTCACCATTGAAGATCCGCAAATGGGTGAAAGGGAATGGAACAGGTTTAGTCATCCCTTTACTACCTACATTTAGGGAATTGTGCCATCTACTTCTGGCGTGCATGAGCAAAAGCCACCCCACGTAAAAACAAAAAAAGGAGAACAAGCGGGAGGCGCTAAAGGGCACCTGGCTCACCTCTCTCACGTCAAAGCATTCGCTTTGCCATGCACGTGCAGTTGAGCCACCCATCATGTCCATTTGTCGGCGTTGCGTACTGAGCTCAAAAGCTGCACGCGAGCTGAGAGTGCCAAAATTCAACTCAGTGAACGGATTGCGCCACGTGGCAAACGCCCAGCCGCCTATATTTCTACCGCAGTGTTTGACCCTAAAACAAGCACACGTTGTTGCTCAGTTGGAGCAAATGGAACCGAAAGGGGAAACCAAAAGGTCAAAGGTCGGCTTTGGTCAAGCGGCCAGAAGCCCACGAGATCTATAACTCTAGCTGAAGTTTGGCTAAGACTGCCTCGGCCTTCTCTTCTCGCATTAGGTTCACAAGCCCGATGCCACCGTTCAGGTCTCACATCCAGGTTTGGCTCACCACCGCCTGTGCTCCATGCTTTAGAGGGACCCTTAGCGATGGGGGTGACCCTTCCGCTGCTTTCATGGGCTTGACAGTTCCCCCTGTAGCCATGGCCATTCATTGTGCCGGCCAAAGGGTTTTACATGTCCTGCGGAAATTTGAGGAGCGTGCCCCACACCAGACCCTTTTCTGGCACATTGAACATTGACACATGATTGCCCAAGGCTTGCTCAGTTGCCTAAAGGACCCAGAAATAAATGGTTACACTTTTGGGGCTATGGTTACAGCTTGGTTAAAAAGGGGACACAAAAGGGGGCAAAAGGTTGGCTTTGGGCAGGCGAGGTTCTGCAAAAAGAAAGCTTTCCGACTTTGGGCCCAAGTGCCCCTGGGGTCGCAATGCTTCAACCAAAAGGCGTCCCCTGGTTAGCAACAACTACAGCCCCACCCTCACGGGTTCCTCCAAACGTCAAAGCCGCATGGGAAAAAAAGTGAAAGGTAGATCCGATTGCATGTCCCGTGGCATGGGCGTCTGTGTGTGTTGGCTTCAACCGGGGGAACACCAGGGAACCTAAACCCCCCGGCTCCCCTTCCCCTCCCTCGCTCGGTGGTTTGGGTTTGGCTGCCCTTGACCTTCAGCATTTTAGGATTCCGAACCCTACCCCTCCCCTATCCAAGCCCAGTTTCCGTCAACTAAGCCATAAGGCTTAGGAAAGTTCGGCTTCGTTTGTGGAAAGCAGGGGAGGTGGTTGGATATGACATGCACAACGACACACCAGTCTCCGCACTTTCTCCCCCAAGGCGTGCTCGACTTGCGCTTGCTTCACATCCACAAGTCAAGCACGGGAAGCTCGAAGGCTGCTTTGGCTCTGGCAAACTTGTTGAACTAGCCGTCAAAACTAAATGAGTCTAAATGTATTTGGGAATCTGGGTGACCCTAAACCGGGTCTAACAAGTGGGTTCTGGTTTCAGGACACATGCATGATTGTCCCGTGCCGCAAGCGGTCGGAACTTTTAAAACCCGTTGCACGGGATCCCTGATGTATGGAACTGTGCGGTAACTCGCCAACCTGCCAGGGCCCTTTATTCATCCTGAGTAAAAAGGCCGAAAAAGGTTCAAACAGTTTCTTTGTCGTTCATATCCGCAATTTCATGGTTCCAACCAAAACAAAACAATAATCAGATAACTAGGAAGTGATCACTTTACCCTTAAGTGGTGCTCTGGTTGGGGTCCCCATTGGGTTTCACAAGGGAGCTGCGTTCACATCCCCAAGCCACATAAGGGTTACCTGAACCTCAATTTGCCTACATAGGCCCCCCAAAAATGAAACGGTTGCCAAAAGTGATACATTCCAAAAAACAAAACAAAAAAGCAATGGGGCAATGCACACACATTCTTAGATCCTCTTAAGCAAATGGACACAACGTGAGCTTACCATGGCCAAAACCAGCCTTTCAGCTTCCTCACTTCCCTCTCATCGATGCCGGCCAGGCAGGCCTAGCCAAGAAAACGCAAACCAGCCGAGAACGCCAAATCCGCCTTTGGGCTGCTGCAAAAGGAACCTGACTTCCGCAACAAGTGGACTGGCTCAAATAAGATCCAAGCTTGTTCTCGCTGCTGCGCAGTAGGGAATATGGGAATGAACCCAGGGATCCCCTAAAAGGAAGCCAGCAGTTGGATGGTTTATTGGAGGCATTCCCTGATTCCCTGCTGAGCACCAGCAAGTGTTCCTTGCAACTCGCATGCTCCCCAACAAGCGTCAAGTCCAAGTCATCAATGGGCTGTGCATGGTAAATGAAACATGGACTAGAACCTGCGGTCCCGTGGCGGCTTAATTTTGACCCATACCCAACTATTGTGGTCTAATCCAACCATAACTATAACCAACATTAACATTATTTTACACTCGAATTAAACAGTTTCCCACAATCTCCGTTGCTGATTGTGTGAGACCTGCCTGGAGTACTATCTATCCCAAGTCGAGTATTTTGCTGGGGATGACGGCGGGAAGGGCCGAACACAAGAAGGAACAAGCGGGTCTTTCCCCAGCCCTTGCCGTAGGATTTCAGCCAACTCTGGGTTTGTCACTTGAGTGGATTGGCCCAAACAAGTCTGAGCTTCTTCGTTTACAACTACTGCCTTCCCTAAAGGCGATGAAAAGCCCAGGAGCTCAGGGAGTCAGGTCAACTAAAACTGCCTTCCCTCAAGCAACTTCGCCCCGAAGCCCAGGCTGGCCCCCTTATTTTGCCAGGATCAAAGTCACCCCCTAAGTGGTGGGTTAAGGGGAAACAACCCCATTTCCTGACTTTGATGACCCCCAGAAACCGCCAAAATAATGACCCCAGCCAGGGGGGGAGAGATGTTTGGCTTTGCGAGCGGATGCCTTCGGCCCCGGTTCGGCCTGCTCGAACTCCTGGAAGGACACGCGGCCATCCCCGTCGCTGTCCAAATCCCGCAGCAGGTGGTCCGCCGACATCGCGTCGAACTTGCAGGCGGCCAGCAAACCCGGGAGCTCCTGAGATACGCCCACTCAAGATGTCCGCTTGTTTGCTTGTTTGTTTGTTCGTTTGTTTTGTGTTGTTTTGATTGTTCTTGTTTTGTTTGGTGAGTGGGTGAGCGAGTGAGCGAGTGAGTGCGTGTGGGGCTTGCATGCGGTTGTGGAATAAGTTTGAATGGAATCGGAAACCCCTTTTTCTCGGGGGAGATTATATACCCCCCCCCCACCATTTTTGGCACCAACCCATGTCGCCCTCATCATTCACCATGTGCACCCCCCAGGAAACCACACCGATCTTGGGCTTCCCTCGGGCATGGTTTTGCCCATTCCTCCCGAGCTTGAGGGGAGGGGGGCGGGAAGTCCCTTCTTCCCTGGGAGGGGTCATCCCCTGAGCAGAGATTGCTACGTAGAACCAGGCTCGCTATGCACAAGTTAATCATGCTTCCAGCTGGGCTTCCTTGGCTGATCAGACATGCCAAGCCATACCTGTACCACAAAGTCAGGGGTTCCTAGTTGCATCTGTGGGTCTTCTCGAGTCAGATAGCCATCCCCATCGATGTCCAGCTCGCAGAAAATGTCCCACAGTCCTCAGCTACAAGGCATGGCACGAACCCACCTATGCCCCCCTGCAATGAACCCCTGTGATGTTGCATGTTGGTGCAGAAACCTTTCGGCTTAGCTATGGGAAACACCTCTCGCAGGCCGTAACTAGGAGACTTCACTTCCTAGTGGTAGCAAGGACCCTGTAGCGCCTTACCTAGAACACTGGGTGACTGCCCAAGCTTGTGAGCACCCTCAAACCACTATCAACCGTGGTATGCCCTTCCATAGCTGTCTCGCGGTCGACCGATCTGCAAGGTGGACCCGGTCCGAACAAATGCGGCTCAGTCGGGTGAAGCTTGTAGCTATATGCCCTTTCAGTGAAACACACGTCCGTTTCAGAACATTGAACCTATTCAACCTTGACGTTCGACTCAGCTTGGCTGTTTGCATACCACATGATGCGTTTGCGTGTGGAAACCGTAACCTGGGACCTCTGAAATGGGTGGTTTCCTGCTTTGAAAAAAACAACCCGACCAGCGGGCTACCTAGCGGCGTAGCGGCGACCGGAAAAAATAGGTCCAACACCTCGAAAAGTGCTCGAGCTATCGATCAGTGTCTCGCTTCCAAAACGACTCCCCAAAAAGGTTCTCGAATGGTTTACCCCAAACCACCCGCAGAGGAATATGGATGAATGGGATATACGACCACGAAACAGCTGTAGAAGGGCCTATACCGGTGGAGCGCTCCCAAACTGCGTTTGGTGTTGTCTGACTGTGTGTTGCTGACGTATTCCCCTTTTGGGGATTTGTGCAACAACATACAACCAGCATCTACTGTACGCGCGGTTTTCCTTTCGACACTCCTTGGCGTTTGAACATTGTGGGCTTCCCTCATCGAGTGCCCCCTATATTTCCTCAAAACGAAGCAATAGCTCTTTTTTAGATACCCTGGCCCCGAATGCCGCATGTAAGGTGGAACGCTAAGAGTGATCAGAACCAAACTGCAAGAACGTCCACACCAAATACTGGGTAAACACTGGCCACGCTGCATTTTGCTCGTACCCGAGTTCTGTGCCAGTGCATGGTTGAAAGGGTCCCCTTGCAGGTAACCTCCTCGTTTTCCATCATACATTGCCTACCGGGGTAGGCTGGGATGCAAACGCAGCATCGAACACCTTCATGAAGTACCTGCTCGCCGATCCTGAGCTGGGCTCTCTGCATCTCTTTTCATAGCAAGCCTACCCTAAAATGTAAAATCGTTTCTTAGAGGAACCCCCAGCTAAGGGCTAAGGTTTCTGGTCTGGGTGTACCACCCCTTCTGCGAGAAAGGGCTGACGGGGGCGGAGAGAGTCCCCAGTTTCAATTGTCCAGTCCAGGGAAAATGGAACGGCCAACAAAACATCAGGGCTATTACATCCCCCCAATTCCATTTTCAATGCAAAAGGGATGGTGTATCTCTGGGAGAAGGGATGGCAATGGTGTGCTTGCTGGCTATCAACAATACGCGGCTCACATATTGGAGATATATGGAGATATGCATTGATGGAGCGCTTGTGGTTTCCTCTTGGAAGAATTCCTGTAACCCTTTGTGGCCATTGCTGTGGCTCCCAAACAAATCGGTAGGGGTGACAGGCCCTTCCCCATGGCAGTCCAGGCTATTCCATCTTCAGAGACCATTGGGTGAGACACCCAGGTGACAACTCTTGCAGCTAATCTGAATGAAGGAACAGGATGGCGTTGCTCAAACAGAGAATTCCCTCATTCCGACTGCGCTACAGCAGGCAAAGCCACTACCATTCGACATGAGGATTGCGGCTTGATTTTGAAACGACCCAGGTTGCTTTCACACCTATACAAGCCCAAGGAAACTAACAAACCACATGCACCGACACGGAATCGGCCCTTCTATCGGAAAAAAAAGGCCCACAGTGCCTTTGAGCAGCAACTGGAGTCATTTGGCGCTCAAGCCACATCTTGCGGCCTCTGAACACCTGCATATGATTGATCATTACCGTCCCACTGCCTTCACTGCATTAGAAGTGAAGACGGCAAGCAATCCTCCCAGGTGCTGAGACCAGTTCCAAATAACAGCAAGCACGTCAACTTCTACAGAAAACAAAGAAACTGATCAAGGTCGTCATGGTGACCTCGCTTTGCAACCCTGAATCGGTGTTGCTATAAATACCGCAGGTTGCATGGTTTGCCGTTGCTTGCCAGTTTTCCGAAAACACATCAATAAATTGCCGCTTGGCACAGCTGGAAAAAGAACAAATGCCCAAGCAGTTCTACAGCATCTGCATGACCTGCAACAACTCCCAATGTTCTAGTACCCAGTCTGGCAGCCATCATGAAACCCTTCAGCAAAAAAATGTGAAAAATGCCTCTCAAAGTGGCAGAACAGCGAACATGCTATTTCATAAGTCTGTCAATGAATGCCATATGAGCAGCCCCTAAGCCGTAAGCCGGGTTGCTTGGTTCTAACAGCAAGGTGTTCACCGTGCGCATTCAAACTTGAGGCCCCCTTTTGTGCCAACTCCCCCTGCTCGTCTGCAACACTAATTTGCCTCAACACACCAGAATGGTTTCGTTTCGAACCATCCAACAAGGGTGCCCTGAAATACTGTGGATAGGCAAAATCCTGCACCACTTTGAAACCATGGGAAACCATTTCTTGGTGGTATTTCAGGGAACTCATCATTCCAGGGTTGCTGAGGTGGTGCGAGATGAGTTTCGCCCATCCAAAGTATCATCTGCAAGGGTACCTGGAAGATTGGTTTCTGCTAAAGGCACCGCCTGCCAGGAGCCACGGCAAGGTGAGGCGAAACTAATTGCTGAGCCCGCGTCATCTGCGCCATAAAGGCACTGTACTCCACAGTTCCATCTGGACCCATCAGCAGGTCGATCAGCCTCGCGAAGGTGGGCTGAGCGACTGCCAACCACGTGCTAATTACGTCTTTCAGCCACCCGTGCTTTAGCCCCGCGTTTTTGCGAGCGGGGGCTTTGCCGGACCCACGTGTTAGTGCTTAGCGTGCTTTTCTCCAGTGATCCTTGACCTAGTTGACCAGTGAGGCCCAGTGACCTGCTTGGTAAAAGAAGGAACCCTGTTTTTGGGGTTCGCCATGCTGAGTGGCAACCCGCCAAGGGAAACCGGGTGCCACTGAACGACCGGGCTACGGAGATCCCATACCCACACATAACAAGTGCGGCCCATTTGTCAGCGCTTGTTTTTTAAAAGATCCCGCCCCCCCCCGCCCCGCCCCGACATACCCCCCTGTGACTCAGAGGGGGCTCATTGGAGCGCTCCCGTGTCAGTCCTGGTCAACGTCTCTCCCCCCAGCAGGTCGATCTGCCGCAGGCCGTCCCGCGCTTCCTGCACCGTGACCACACCATCCCCGTCGCTGTCCAGGCTCCTGGCGCGACAAAAGCAAGGGGATCCCTTAACTCAGTTGCCCAAAGGACCTGCAATGACCTGCAACTAAAAGGTTAACCTTTTGGATATGGACCACAATGGGAAAACCAAAAGGTCAAAAGGTCGGCTTTGAACAACTGAGTTAAGCCCAGGATAAGCCAAGGATAAGCCTTTCATACGGCCTAATTAAGGGGTGAATAGGAAATCCGCCGACGCCAGTCGAGCGTGTAGATGGCAGTCCGCAACTTGGTCTTCCTTCGGAATCTCCTCTCAAAGCCGAAGGCTTTTGGGACTGCTATTTTTTGGGCATGCTGCGCGACGTGTCCAAAACCCTGTATTTTTTCCAGTGTTTTTGGGTCTTTCGTGCTAGAAATCTGCGTTTCGCCTAGGTCTCTAGGGGGGGGGGGGGGTTTCCCCGGACGCGCAGGATCTGCATCCCCAGCATCATCAGGATTACCTTGTTGCCATGAATTTGTCTCTTTCTTTTGCAGATACTAGTGGCGTTTTGCTGTTTCAAGCGATGTTGGAATTGGCCTGTTAGGGTTTGGGTGAAGCCAAATGCGGTGACACTTGAGGAACTGTTGAAATCTGCAAAAAATGAGTTTTCTTGCAATTCCCCACCTGTACGGAGCAGTTACTGCGAAACATCCCCTGCATTATCGTGCTTTTGGAAGTCTATTTGAGGGGGGTTGCTGGTATCGGTTTTTGATGGCTGCTTTTGGGAAATATTGAAAAACCCTGGTTTTTTGCACTTTTTTGTGGCTAGCCGGCTGCCTTCCCAGCATTCCCCACAACTCTCGTATTTTCTGTGTTTGGTCAATGTCGCGTGTGTGAAAGTCTTAAAATATTGAGCGTGAAGATTGGGTTTGTTCTTGTAAGTTGTGTGGCTGCATCCCTTGCATTTCCAGCATCCTCAGCATCTGGGACATGAAAAATGACCTAGGCAAAAAGACGTCTTTTTCCTGACCCCAAACTTGAGGCACCCTGCAGTTTGTCAATGGGGGACTGTCCACTGGCGTCGGCGGATCGCGTAGCGATTTCAATAGCCCCGTCCCATGCCCCATTAAATGCACAGGTTGGAAATTCCTATGGATAGGTTTGCACACGTTGTAGAAAAACACGCTGTGAAGTAAGGGATCTCCAAGTAAATGATCCACGCATCATGCCTTTCGGTCATTTACCTGGTCATTCTCTTAAGGCCATTAGAAAGAGCCCTCGGGGGCCGACCGGTCCCTAGGCTTGCCTTGGACCCTTTTGGGTTCCAGACGTGCACAGGCGCTCAAGCGCAAAGGGCACTGCCCAGGCAGGACTTCCCAAGCGCAAAGTAGCACTTTGGGACTGCCCAAATTGAACGGGGATCCTTACAATATACACCTGAACATTGCCTTGTAAATGGTGGTGTCCCTTTATGTTAATTAATGGAAAAAGCCATGTTTCAAATTTGCAAAATGTATCTTTTAAGGAGCCCTGTTGGGCGGCGATAGCTGCAGCCTTTGCCAGTAAGCAGAGTTAGAAACCACAGCCTGGTCCTGTGCAGACGAAATCAACATTCAGCCTTCCAGGAGCTTTTGTGCAAGCCCGTGCAGTCAAAATGAGCGAGTCGCGCGTCGGCACCACAATCTATACTAAATTCCATGCGGCGTCTAAATTCACAAAAAAACAACAACGTCGCCCTTTCGCGGTCCAATCGCCGGTCTTTCGCGGCTCGAGTTTTCCCAATCGCGCGGTTCAACAAGTTGCCGCTGTTCATAAATTTCAGACATGCAATTACGGACGGCCCCCACCTGAGAAGGAACACACTCCTTGGATGCGGTCCTGAACCTGTTCTGTAGCAGTGTGTGTCCAAGCAAAAGGCCCTTAAGAGCGGCTTCTATAGCAACGCGGGGGATTGGCAGACCCAAATTTGACAAAAAGGGCCACGTCGCAGTGCAAGGAATGCACACGCGCAGTCTCTAGCAGCCTCCCTTGGATGGGCCCCCGGATCCCACTTGAGGGTACACATGCAGGGTCTCCCGCTTCCTTAACCTGGGTATTGGAAGGCCAAAAGCCAAACAAAGCAACTACCATTTATGGGCGTGTGTCTTTTAAGGGCCCCTTTCAGGTTACTACCATTTTGGGGTTCTCCCTATTCCGACACACAACAGTATTCATCTGTAGCACCAAGAGTTTTGAGGGTTACTGAGCACTGACATTCAGGGATCCCACATTGCCTTGATCCCGCTTTCACGTTCAAAATGGGCGGGTCCCTAACCTCAACACGTAGTCACCATCTCATCAAGGTTCAAGCAAGGTTGGTTCGAAGGGACACCAAAAGGAACATCACCATTACGGACATCCACAAAATGGGTCCTTGCAGATTCCCATCAATTTCAACCAGCAAAAGGGGTTCCAAAAGCCAAGACACACCCCTTGACCCCGGAAATCTCTTTCCTGAACAGGTCGTTCAAGCTGCGCATCTGCCCCAGGTTGCAGCTGGCCAGCATCTTCTCAAAGATGGCCTTCTGCGCAGCCTGGCGATCAAAGAACGAGCTCCATGCGCGGATGTCAACGTAAGCAACGTGTCTCAGGTGTGCCTGCTAAATAGGGGATCTGGCAAAAAATAGGGCACTTTCTTTTGGAACTCCCTTTGGCTATTTCGAAAATTATGAGCTATTGTTCAAAGCCACATAAATCTCCATGGAGTACAATGAGGAATTCCCCAAGTTAAGGACCTGCGCCGCGGCGCGCTCGTTTTACGTCGTGTGCTCGCCATAAAGGTTCCAGTCGTTCGATCACCTTTTGTAAAAATGGAAAAGCAGACTGGTTCCAACAGGTCTACTGGGCCTTTGACTAGTAACAATTCGATAACCAACCGACATCCATCTGATTGCTCCAGCAAGCCTCAGGCCCGCCGAATGCCACCTAAACCGAAACACAATTACGCGAAGACTACTGGGTCACAGCAAAAAGGAGCCATATGCAGCCATGATACGTGGCACATGTGATGTTACATATGGGTGCTTCTCACAGATAAGGGTCCCCCTTCAGCATGGCACTGAGAGTAGCTGGGCTGTCCTCAGCTGCTCAAAGTTTAACCTTTCTTCCGTGGGTTAAATGGACACTACCACTGAACCCACTAAAAAACAACAAACAACACCTCAGTGCCTCAGGAACCGAATGGATTTCGGGAACCACACCCCCCTGTTGAGAACCCGTAGGCCCATAGGTCTCCCACCGAGCTCCGAGCTCCGCACCGTACGCTGCTGCAGCGCCCTCAAGCGCCCCAAGGCTTCAACGCCCACCTCACATGACGGTCCGAACTTTACCACCAAAATGGTCTGAGTCTAATTGCCCAAAAAGTGAAAGTTCAGGAACTCAGGAAGTGAGGAGGGCAAACGAAACCTTCCCAGACACAAACGGTGGCCTTCCTTCTGGCTTCCGGCCTCCCATTGCGCCAAACTATGGGCACCCTGCAAACAAATCCAGAGTAGCGCAAAATCAAAGCCTGGGGTTCGGTCAATGTGAAGACTTGAAAGGTTGTCGCACCTTTTACGGGTTTGATTGTGGCTCGTTTGCTGTTTGATTCAGAACCCTGTCGGCTGGATACTGTGCACGGAAAATGTGCATTCCACGCCTTTTGCAAGTTGTTACTATCGGGGAACTCCTCGTTGCTTGACGTTGGTGGGATGTGATCCCGTGTTGTTGGCTGACAAGAACACGGGCAAGGGCAATTCAAGGAATACACTTTTTGACACTTGACACACACCCTCTTTGATGGATGATGTTTCGTGGACGAAAGGAAAAGGATATCTTGAGGTGTCTTGCTCTTGGTTTGCTTCCTTCAATGGACACCATTCGATTGGTTGATATTCAAGGGCGACGTTCCGCTTTGATGACTTTTGTTTTACAGGAACAAACGCCAAGAAGCACAGCCCTACAGGAATCTGTGTCGGTTGACGTGAACAGGGCCACCTTGAGTTTTGCTTTGCTATATGGTTGGATCCAGTGGTTGATTTCGAAGTCTCAGCTTTGATTTAGCTAGTAGCCTAGCTTTGATTTAGCTAGTAGCCTAGCATTTGGATGTGTATCGAAATATGGGACCTTTCCTTCAAAAAAGCCAAGGGCATCAACATGCGTTTTGCTGCTTTGGTCCAAGAACATGCGCCAAAAGCGGGGCGTTTGGCATGCGCACTCCAAAAGCAAATAGGTTGCAGCAAGGCGCCAACAACAAAAAAAACCGCGCGCGCGCGTGCACGCGCCACGCAACGCCGCGGAGGCTGCGCAGCCGAGCCACGGTGTGAGCTCCGTGCGCGCCGGCGTGCTGGAACCAGGGGTGGCGCAGGCAAGCGCTCGCGCTGGGCCTGCCAAGCAACTTCTTGCTTCTCTGGTTGCTAAATCATACTGTCCCCATATTATTATATCAACCCCTGGTTGTTCATAGGGGTGCCCCTCACATGACCTGCTGCACCTTCTTGCTTCGCTGCTTGCTAAATCATGCTGACCCCATGATATTGCTGGCAGGGTTTTCGGTGAACAAGTTAACAAGCAGAACAAAACATGTGTTTTTGATGGCTTTGTATCAACCCCTGGCTATGAATAGGGGGTGTCGCCGGGTTTGGTGGGGAATCATGACTTTTGGAGGGAAACACCCCTTGTGAATAAACAGGGGTTGATTACCATGGGGTCAACATTAGGGGTCGGAGGAAGTAAAAACAACCGCATCCCCTGTTGGTGTCCTTTTATGAAAGTGAACTACTACTTAGCACTCAGTGATTACGAAGCTGCGGACGTTCCTGAATTCAAGCTTCAAATGTTGCTTGCAGAACTCTTCAGGAAATGAGCTAACACCCAGGTCAGGTGTTTGCTGGGTATTTAACGAACGTCCCGCAGGTTATTCAGCCAAGTGCTGGGGGTCGTCCCTTACAACCTTGCAAGATGCTGAAGCGTTGACCACACACGCCAGCAATTCGCAAGTTGGTGGGCCAACGTGGCATTTGCAATTTCGCTCAAGACCCACCTTTCCTCAAGGCTGAAGGCTCCTCTTCCTTTGATTCAGCTCTTCAAGTCATGTGTTGCCCGCTCTTGCACGGACCTATGACAAAATGGAATCATTAGTGCCCCAAAATGCAACGCTACCAGAATCATGAGTCTGATCGGCAGACTGAACATCAATCAGAAGCACGAAGTAAAGTTGCTTGTCTTCTTCACCACTAGTTACTAAGTTTGGTATTCCCCAGAAGCTGAAATATCGTGTTCGGCCCACTGGGGGAACATCACGTCGTGTTGTTCTCACGCAGCTTGTTCGGCGTCAGTAAGCTCAGCCCGACAAATCGCAGCAGGTTTCAGTCAGAGGCGGCAGTTCAAGCAGCAGTGCCACCTCTTAGCATCATAACATCATGTTTGCAGGTGCCACTGCAAATGCCCAAGCCAAGACTTGATGCAAAATGGCTGAAACATGCTGAAACCAGCAAACCAGCAACCAAGCAAGCAAGCAAGCAAGCAGGCAGGCAGGCAAAGCAAACAAACAAGCGAGCAAGCAAGCCAACCAACCAACCAACCAACCAACCAACCAACAAAACACATACCAAACCAACACAATCAACCAACCACCATCGATTTCACCTGCTTCTTGCGCTACACCAATCTGGGACGAATCCGACAGCACCGCCTCTGCTTAAAGTCCTTGGAGGTTGTCTGCTTCAAAAGGTCCTGCGCAAGCGGTTTGGGGTGAGGGCTTGTTGCCAGATTTGCGCATTTTGCCGGGGGCTTTGTGTGTTTTTGTCTTCTGGTGTTTTGGCTGTTTCGTTGTTTGTTGTTGTTCTTGGTTTCAAACTTCACCCTGTCCAATTGCCCAGCCCTCTCTGCAAAGCTGTCAGGCACCCGCAAAGGAGAGCCCTCTTCGTGGTGGGAGCTTCCGCGTTATGAAAGGAACCTCTTGAATCCAAGTTGCTTGAGTCAGGGAACAGGACTACTCGCAAGCGGAGGTGAACAGATCATGTCCCTTTCAGGCCAAGTCCCTTTCAGTTTAACGTGACACCTCAAACAAACACATCCAGAATTTAACGTGCCACCCGTGCCGTCTGTCTTTGAATCTTCTGGGGAATATAGGGATCAACTGTGAAGAAGCCGATGTTGGGAGAACGTCTTCAACAAACGCGCATCACACAACGACGTGTTTTTTGATCATGTTCTTTGGGATGGAGTGCACTAGCATAGAACCTATTCTGGGCTCAAACAAATGGCTGTTAGTGAAATCCGTCAAACATCGATTTTAAGACTCGAGCATCAGCACTAGTCTTCCTGCAATGTCCACCAAACAACCAACCACCACACGCTTTTAACATAGAACCCCAAACCAACTCAAACAGGTTCTCTGTTAGTGGTGCTGCTGTCAAACAGTTGTTATGCTGCCTCCATGCTTGCGAAGCTGTTGAACCATGGTCTCGAACGCTTCCATCTGTCCCGGCAAAACATACTACGAGTCCTGTCTCCGCGGAACATTGACATGGAATTTCCTTTCACAAGACCTCGGTGACGGGTTCCACGTTAAGCTGTCGAAAAAAGCAACATCATTTCATCCATTCCTGAATCTGGAATTGCCAGATTCTAAACCACTCGCTATTGTCGCAACGCTCACTCGTGTTGTCTGCACACTCAGGGCTGGCCCACCCCAGTGACCGTTGACACATAAATCATCCCTCACGGTTCGGGCTGCATGTTAGTGATAATTCTGAGTCACCCCACGACGAACAAAAGGGTCATTCGCATAGAACCTCTGTGGAGACCACATCACACAGACTCCTTGCGCTTCACATGAGAACAAAATGTTTTTTGACAACTGCGTGGGGAGTATCCTTGGATTCTGGCAAGCAAAGTTTAGGAACCTTACAATTCAAAAACAAAAATACAATTTTCAGCGCCAAATTCTCTCGATTTGCCTCGGAGAAGTGAATTCGTGTAGTTGGAAGGGGAACCACATGCTTGGTCTCTCGCCATGTGCACCCTAGTGTGTATCATGACCTATTCAAACAAGCATATTTTGTCTGACGTGTGGTTGATCCTTTAAACCAAAAGCCATAATAACTGCCCAGCAGGTGTTCGCATCTTGTGACATGAGGGATTTTGCCGTGAAACGGACCTTCATGACTGAGCAGGTTATACACGCGGCTGTGCTGAGCTGCCCCTGAAACTGGATGGTTTATGTGTTGGTTTCAATTCAGCGGACCCATGGCCATTGAATGTTGGTCTTACATGGTTGTAATTAATTATGGCCTTCGGGGGGATGGAAACAAGCCTGGAGGTTTTAGCTGGTGGCCGCGTGGAAGCTCAAATGATCAGATGCATTTCGAGCTCTTCACTCGCTTTTCGCGGCGCCTTGAAGTCACTGGACGCAAACAGCTCTTCCAAGGGCAGCTCTTTCTCCAAAGTGCACTGCTCCACCTCCTCCCACCCTCCTGGCCAAAGCTCCCTGGAGCTGCCCAAGAGGTTGAATTCCGTGTTCCGTGTACCCTTGCTGTGACGCAGATGCCCCTTTTGGGCCCACAAATAAAGGGCGATCACCTTTTGGGGCCACAACAGCTTGACCAAAAGGTCAGCTTTCGGATGAACCCCGCGCGGAAACGCGCAAGCGATCATGCGCGGAAAAGACCGCTGCGGCAAAACAACCTCTGCAAACCAGCAAGTTGTCAACGGACAGCGACTGCCCTGATCTGCGGCGGCATGGGGGCACCTCTGAATTGATTCTTTAAAATAACTCAATATCTTCATCGAGTTTTACTCAAATTCAATCAAACGTTATATATAGAACTTAATAAGGAAACAACCCATAAAAACAAACAAACGACACAAAGCAACACATTCCTCAGACACTTGTTCAAGAAGTAGCCACTGGGTGTGCCAAGAAGAGTTCTCAAAGGAAGTGTTTTGTGTGTGTGTGTGTGTGTTTGGTGTTATGTTGTTTGGCTTTCTTGAGTTGCTTTTGGTTCGTGAATTTAAACAGTCGGAGTTGTTTATTGAAGATAGTTCCCGACTAAAAGTCAACGTTAAAGTGCAAGCTTGAGTTGAACTCTTGTTTGATAACTTGTGCTTGAATATTAAGTCATGTGCAAAGGCAATTCTACTGCAAAGGACAGCCTGTGTAACTTATTATGTGAAATAGATCATTTCATAGTTTAATGCTAATTTAGAATATAGATTCTGACTGCCTTATTTCCTTATCAAACTAAATCTAAGCTCTTATTGAATTGTAAAGTTCCATATTGCACGGACTTCTATCCAAATTCTAGGTTCTGAAACTAAGATTGGATTTCCAATGGGGTTCGGAATGAGTATCTCCGTATAACTTATTAAGTCTCACTCAAATTCTCTTCAAACTCTAATTGGCTTTTAGAGGATGGCCGCGGGTGAAGATGCAATTTTCGCACGGCAAACGCTACAACACACAGTGTTTTACAGTGACTCCTGACCATGGGAGCCTGGCAGCTAGGTAAATCACGAATTTAGACTTCTGAATTTGTTCCTTATGAAATGATACTTAGTTTCTTTCTCAATTTATACTGAATGCCTATAAAAACTGACTTAAGAATAATTTCAATAAGAACGTAATATAAAATAACAATATTTTCCCAAAGAACATAACTTCAGCAATAATCGTTCCATTTAAAATTAAGATATACACAGCAGTTCCTTTCCAGATAGATATGCCTTAAACATCAGCTAACATCTCAACACTCATTGACTCAAACAGAGCTCAACCTAAGCAAATCAAGTGCAATCAACTGATACAGGCTTGCATACACAAGCAAGTTAACGACATGCCTCTAGGGGTACCTTCCCCATTTTTTAGCAGGCATCCTTCTTTCTAAAAAACCACCCAAACAACCACCCAGGGAAACGGCTGTTTTTGAAAAGAGCTATGGTTCATAAGAATGGGGAATCAACCCCTAGAGTAGCAACAAGTGCACTCCGACAGCCCCAGAAGCCCTCAAAGAATAACCAATGACTTCGCGCCGCGGGTGCCTCCTGAAGTCTGAGCTGTCTCACGCCGGGCAGGGCAATAAGGAGCCTGAGGCGAAACGGAGCTCCACTTGCACCACTGAACAAGCACATGACCGCTACGCAACAAGGTCCAACAAAAAAGAGAGGTAAAGTTTACAAACTACGCATGTCCAGTTGGCTGCCGCTTGATTTGTGAAGCAATCAATGTAGCAAGGGCTGATTTAGCACTCAAAGAAGGTTGCATGAAAGCAAGGTTGTCCCATTTCCTGGTGGTCAGTGGTCAAGGGTTTGGCGGGCGAAACGAGGCCGCACGGATGGAATAATCCTTGCCACGGATTGACAATTGATGAATTCCCACTGTAAACAAACAGTAGTTGAGACGCAAAATGTGAGAGACTGAAATTGATGAATCCTGCAGGTAAACATCACAGGAGTAACGAACTCTCGACTAAGTGGCCTGCACCAAACAGCTGATCTGAGAGAAAGCTCGCTTTGTTTGAATCCGTTGAATCCGAAGCCTGCAGTTCCTCCTAGCCCGAGACCTCTCTGAGCGGGTCTTGAGCAAAGTATTTCAATAGACCTGAGAATGTCCAGTGGGAAAGTGTCAACAGTGCCAACCTGCGATTTGTAATCGCGCCTCGAACAAAGTTCTTAGCGCCCTGGTTATTAGATGCCTCTCAAATCTGGGCTGCCCTAAGATCCCCGCTAAACGTTTAACTATTGGTGGTGAAATGGAAATCCCCACTAAACCCTAAAAAGCTAAAAAGCTAAGGGGATGGCGGGGAGCCAGCAAGAAATGAAGGGCTGGGCTGTGCCAGCCAGTTGTTTTGTGCGCTCCGCAAAGAGCCACAATATTTTTGCTGCAACAAGTCTCTCCCAGAAATGGCGGGAGAGGCCCGAACCCTTGACAAACCTGTTGGCCTGTGCAACCAGAACCCAAAGGAGGAGACAGCAACACTAAGAAACATAAAAAAAAAATGCAGGAAAGCAAAACAGAAGGCAGCAATAGCAAGCAAGAGGGAAAGATGCAGAAAAGAAAAGACGGAGGCAGGAATACTGAGCAAAAGGAAAGAGACACAGGAAAGAACCGAAGCGGAATCAGGGGAAGGTGGGTCACAGGTTGTCGCCACGTTCGCAAGCCAAACTCAAGCAAATCACCAAAGCTAAACGTCAAGCTTCAAGAACAGGTTGGAATTAGCAGCAACCACTTTTACCAACACAGCATTCTCAGCCTTAAGCCTCATTTTTCCACCAAGCGGCTCGCTTGCCAGACACAATCTGGTAAAACATGACGCCGGCAGAAAAGACGTCGCCCTTGGGGACCCAGAAGGAGCTCTGGAAAGTCTCCGGGGGGATGTAGCCTGCTGGCGAGTGCGCGCCTCGAGCGCTCAAGCCTTGCTTTGGAGCGACTCAAAGAAGCCAAGACAGAGGTCTGACAGAACGCATTTCTCCGCATCAGCTGTTAAAGTGATTTCCCCACTGACCCAGCTGTTGCCTTTTTCTGGGGTCGAAACAACTCTGTTCCACTGCCCCGCATTCCTGCGGGGCCTGTCTTTGGATGGTACCGGCTTCTGAGCACATTTCTGGGGCGCTCTGCAGGAAGCAATGACAATGGTATTGACAAACCTCGACCTACAGAGGTTGTCAGCAGCAACCCCGTTTATGAACTAAAGTAAAAGAGCATTTATGCCGCAAATTCTGAGCCCATCCAAAGCTAGCGAATGAGCGAGCACGTTTCAAATCAGTCAACTCAAAGGGTGTCGGATGAAGGGATTCCCAACCAAACTAAAACCAGAAAGGACAGCTATGGAAACAAGTTGTGTTTGTCAAAATTCTGACAAAAGCCCAAAGAGTGTTGCCCCTGCTGGGGCAAGGTTTGTTGCCAGCATAGTAGAGTTGTGCCGAAGCCCTTTTGACAAGACTTTCCTGCGCAAGCGGTCGGAGGTGAGTACAGCAAGTGGCCTCTAAAACCAAGGGGTGGCTGTTCGGAACCAATACTGGGCGAAGGGAATTGCAAGTCAGCCAGCGCAGGCACCAAAAGCTGTAGAAACCCTCTTTCAACGCGGCCGTCTGAGAAATGTGTCAAACAACACGCCCATCCAAACCCCTATTTGGCCTTTGTGCCCACGAAGGAGGCATGTCTGGGGAAGGCTTCAGGGCCCACTTGATCCGGGGTAACCCCCCCTTCCCTACCAGGGAGAGGGCGGCTTGGAGTGGGGTTGTATACTGGTCGAATGTGGCACGACCCCAACTGCTTTCCAACATGGTTTTGGAACATAGATCTTTCTATGATGTTAATATGGGCCATGTTCAGGGCTCAAAGGCACATGACTCAAGGGCATCTATTCCAAGACCCATATGGATGTGGCACTGCATCCCACGCTGCTTTTGGTTCGCATCCGACGCGAGCCTGGTGTGCCCCAAAGGCCCCGCTCCGCAGAGATGAAGCTGGAGGAAAGCCCGAAGTCAATGAGTAGCACTTGGGGATTCCTGAGGACGTGTGTGTGTGTGTGTGTCTTGTGCTTTTTCGCCGCCTGGAAATAATGAGAAGCTAGGGCAAATAACACATATCCTTGAGGTGTGAGTGCGTCTGGTTTCCTTGACGGTACCCTTTTTGGGTTCCCATCTTTTTTGACCCATTCCCAACTGAAGTTGAGCGCCCGCAACATCCATTGACTTTCTTCCAGTTCAGTTCTTCTAAGTGGGGGGGGATTGGCATGTAACCACGCAAAACGAGTTGATATGTTCTGAGGTTGCGTCGTAAAAAATCAGGAACACAAAGTGAAATCACCCCGTCAACTAAAGAGCACTGCCTCCCCACACTTTGAAGCGTTCTCTGTCACTTTGCTTGGTGTCGATAGGGAAGCTTATTTTTGAATATCCCGAATTCTTCTCAATCATGGTTCTTGTGAGAAGCAGAACATCTCTTTGCTTAGTCATTTTCCTACCAGAAGGATCTCTGGACAAAATGTGGGTGGCAGTGCAGGAATCCCGCGTGTAGCCAGAAATGGATCATTGACAGGAGTTTTGCCACATGCCCTCTTACGCAAGCGAGTTTAGCATGCCATCGTGTCTTCACAGGTTCCCCCTCCCCCCAAAAGCCTTGGGAACCCTCTTCTAGGCTTCTCACCGCAACTTCTCCCCGGTTTCGTGGGTGGTGATGCTAGCCGCCTCTGGGTACCAGTTGTTTTTCTCCAGGGTTGTGGGAAATGGAACCCACTTCTGTGATACAACAAAACGGGCCTAACCCCAAAGACTAACACCCCATATGAATCGGGGGAGATTCCCAAAAGTATCACAGAAGTGGTTGGATAAACCCCGAGTGATTCCACAACCCAAAGTTTTTCTCATCCTGAAGTTTGCTTGTTGAGAGTTGTGCCGTGCTGGAACAGCCAGGAAAAATAGCACCAGCCGGCCGAAACGGGTCCAACTGGTCCATGGATCAAAATCTAAATCGGTTCGCCCCCAGTCAACATCCGATTCAATCCAACCTCTAAAATAGGTTCTAAGATGGGTGGTGAATTCACCTACAAACCAAAAATGGGATCCCATTCATGGCAAGCAACATTTTCAGGTAGGGGCTTCGGGGTTCTGGAGGCCAATATGCAGTGAGCAAAAGCTGCCTGGCGCATGGAATATGAGCTCCAAACCTCCCACATTCATGCCACACACTTCCCGGGTAATTACTGCCCTCCAGGTTAGCATGGAGCCCCAAGAAGAATTCGTCTGAGAGGAATTTCCCATCTCCTTTTCGATGGGCCCCTTCCGTTTTAGGCTCCATGTTGTTGACTGCAGGTGAGTAAATCCGCGGCCGAAAGCAGCTGAACACTTCGACACCTGGGCTCTGCCAATTGATCTTCAGCGCCTCTGCCACCATCACATTGGACTCCTCTCAGGGAGTGACACCCTGCTGATCCCGGCCACTTTGCCACCCTCCAAACATGGAAGCTGACAGGACGGTGGAAAAGATCTTTTTTGGACCCCCCCCGGTCCACTTTTATGATAATCGTGATGGTCGGAAAAACAAGCAACCCGGGGCTTATTCGGTGTATTGTCAATTTCTCCTGAGGCAGGTGTCAGGGAGAGGGGTGGAAGGGTCCCTGAAAACGGGGGGGGGGTACATGTCAAAACCAGTCGGATCCATCCAGTTGGCCATGTCGACCCTGGCTTTGGGGTGTTCTCCCCCCAAGAAAAAGGCCCCAAGAAAAAGGTATTCCCTCAACAGTGCGACACCTCCTGAATAGGGGTTTATCAATCCTGGGTTTTCTATACACCTTGGGTCTGACATACTTTTGCAAGCACCATTGCACTCCAAAGGATCCAGCAGATTGACATAGAACCCACAAACGCATCATGGTACCAGGAAAACACCTCTCGGGTTGCATGTAAACTTGCGGGAACTGCCTCTCCGTGATGCCAACCCAGTGACACCCCCCCATTCACCGCTCATCTTTTCTCCAGGGTTGCTAGGGTGTAGATGGGCCGTCGAGGGAACGCGCTGCAGCGGGATCTTTGTTGAGTGGTCGGCCTCATCGGCCCTCGGCAAGCTTACTAATGCTTGGTTGTTGTTGACCCCCCTGCCCAAAGTTTAACTTTTCGGGGGGTGAGTGGAAAACCCCCCAAAAGATTTCCCAACTTGAGCTAAAGTCCAAAGATCCAACCCACTAGCAGCCAGCCTCTTCTCTCCCCGGGCGAACAAAAATCCAAAAGTCTCACCCCGCGCGGTCCTTGAGGTCGCAGTGGATGATCTTCTTGTGATGCAGGAAGGCCAAGCCCTTAAGCCTAGGCAAACCCACGAGCTGCCCATGGTGGTCACGTTGAAACCCGTCCCACTAGGGGGGTGGAGTGCTCCCTCCAAAAGTGGCCTGAATCCAACCACTCAAAGGAATTGGACACCCCCCAAGCAAAATCAACCAGGGGTTTATGAATCCGGGGTTAACATTACACGAGATTCTGGGATACCAAACTTCCATTTGCTCTTTCGTCCCCTGGAAAGAATGACGCTTCCAGTAGGGATCGATTCCCTTTAAAACCAAGAGGGGGAAACTGACACATGCGAATGATCAAATGGAAGCAAAGAGCTTGCCCGACTACTTTGTCGTATGAAGAGGGGTTCCCGTGGTGTCACGGAACAACCGGCGCCAAAATCCATTTTTCAACAACCAACTAGCCCACCAGTCCAAAGCACTTTCCGTCGGAACCTCTCCGGTCAAAACCGGGTGCCCTCTTAAGGGTTGGGTCTCTGTCATTTTGAGGCGCCCTGCGAACGAGCCAAGGAGCCCTTCGGGGTTTGCCATTTGCAGCTTAACACGGAGCCACGAAATCCGCCAGGCAGCACTTGCGTGAAGATCCTGCTCAGCCACTGCTCATCTACCTGTCGCACATCAACGTGACTGTGTAGCCTGACACCCGGGCCAACGGCCTCAAACATACGACCTATACTTGAAGGGCATTGCACGCAAGTGACAAGTAAGCCCGGTTGGAGCCCACTTGGTTATAAGCCCGATCGCCCCTTTAAGTACCCTTTCTGAGGCCAACATGAAAGCCGCCAGGAAAGAGCAAAGTTTTTGGGGCTTCCATGGAAGCTTCCATGCCTGAGGGAGGGATCGGTAAATTGCGCAAAGCTTCACGGGTATTAAGCAAACCCCCAGGAGGAATGGTCTAAACTGGGGCTGCTCGCAGTGGAAAGTTCCGAATACATCATCCTTACCAAAAAGAAAGATTTCAAATAGCCCAAGGACAAAGGATTACTTGTGCAACACATATATGCCAGAATTTCAAAGTTTGCACCAACACAGTCTTTGACTTAGGTGCGCGTTTACTGGCAGTTTGTGCTCGGGTCTATCTCCAACCATTGATCAGCAAAGCTCACACTGACCATTGGTCCTGGGGGTAAAGAAATGAAGCATCACACAGGTAGAGCGGGAAAACAACGTATCGCAAAGACCCGGCGTACGTCAACATGCAAAAATGCAGTCAAACACAGATATGTATGTTCATGTATACACAGGACATATACTCCTTGACTCTTGCAAACTGTTGGGTATTTCACCTGCCTGGAAACAATGTTCAGAAACTGAAAAGAAATGAGCCGTGATCATGGGTGGCTGTCAGGTCAGTCACCGGGATTTGCCCAGCGTGCTGGATCACACGGAAGGCAAGAAGGAGGTGCACAGGTCCTCCCACCTGTCACAAAAACCCAATGCGGTCTATTTCTTTCCAATGCGTCGCCTACACCTTTGCGCCGGCAAGAGCAAGAAATAGGTGTGGCGGTGCCTTTCCCCTACTGGAATCTGGACATATATACGGCGGTAGGGGGTCCGCGGCCCTCCATGCCCTATCCGGACTGGCTTGCCACCTGCTATGTTTGACACAAACACCAAAAAAAGCACTCACATGGCTGTTGCTCAAAAATTGGTACCCACAATGCCACCTAATGGAAAAAAATACTTAAAACCTTTTTGGTTTCTCGCGGCTGCTTAGTTTGACACACACCCAAATGTATCCTTTGAGGAAGCCCGTCCGTACCGGACCCGGGGGGTCCCGGCGCCTTTTGCCCGGCTTGCGCCGCTTGGGCCACCAACTTGGTGAGGTCGCCCCCTAGGTAGGGCTCGCTGACGATGCAGAAGTAGCCCCCATCCTCCCAAATCCAACTGGTGTCAAGGGGGGGGCTGGCAAAAAGGAGGGTGGTCCTGTTGGCTTCAGCAAAACCCAAGCCCAAAAAGGGGCACCCTAAAACACACACACACACAGATGTAGGTATGTAGGTATTCGCCCTGAACAAATCGTACAAGTATACATAATATGGAATCCAAAAGGGTCCTCGTGCATCGACATGTTTCGATGTTTTTATTGCATGCTGTTTCTGTTGCTGTTTTGTAGTTTCTTTTGGGGGTGGCCCAGTGGTCCACAGTTGCTTTCAGCATGGCAAAGCATTTCCCCATATCATCTGAACTGCCAGCCAGTCATGTTGACAACGCATATCTCCCTGGACAAAGGCTAAATGTATATGTCCAGGTATGCACCCCTGGTATGAACCCCTATTTCATGGCCTAATTCAGCCTTGGTGGTGGCTTTCTTTAACTGGGAAATCAGCCCCAAAAAGGTCCATGGCAATGGGTTACATGGACCGTTTTTCGTTTTCGTGTGCCATTTGCAAAAGGTGCAAATCCTGACCAACCCCATGATGAGTGAATGGGCCCAGTGCTTTTCGAAAGGGATCCAAGGTTCCCTTACGCCCTTTCAGAAAGGGATCCCAACTCCTCAGAATTAGAAATGGCATGCCCCTTTCGGAATTGTCTATGGCTTCGGCGAATATATGTCTAAACAAGCTTAATTAAGAAAGGGGGTGGTGCAATGCCTGATTGCCGCATTGAGCCCCAAGTGGTCAGGTACAGGGAACAACCCAGTCTCTGACTTGGACAATGACCCCGGAACAATGACCATCGTCCCAATCTTCACCTCTCACCCGTCCTGGAAAATCTCGTAGGTGCGGGCAACATAGGGGCTACTCAGCGTCTTCATTACCTCGAACTCGAAAAGGATATCCTTGCAGCTGGGTGCACCGGCTAGCTTGCCGCATGAACAAGACAATTGCATTTTCGCCTAACCAAAGATTGTGGCTTCGTTTTGGCCTGGTGGAAAAGGTGCTGCTAATCTTTGAAGAGCCTGACGAACCGTACAAATTGTCAGGACTTTCTTTAGGAACGGCCCGAAAGCTCGCATCGTTTGCCAAAAAGCGCGGGTCCCGGCAATGTTAACCTGCACCTTGTGCCTCTGGCAAACCAGTGAAGCCTGGACAAGGGTCAAAAATCCCGAGCAACGCCTGTGCCAAACGTACCAGTGGAACTCCTGCAAGGCTCCAACTTTAGGTTCTCAGGGAGGACAACGCTAGCCCAACTAGGTCCTCCAGTAGAGAGGCTAGAATAAGGGTACCCTTTTTCTGTAGTCTATTTTTGTAGGGGAACCCTCCCCCGAAAAAGGGTAACAGGGCACTACTGGGGGACCTAGCCAACATCTCAACCCTTGCCCAGTTGCAATCCTCAAGCAACATCTCTTCGGGCCAACTTAGGGACAGCTGTTGCGCATGTGTGGCAAAAGCACCAAACCGGCTCCAAGCAAAACAAAGCAAACCCACATTGCCTGTTGGCCAATGGACATTATTGAACGTGTAGTCAGTCATTGTGCTTAAAAACGCCGCAAAGGGATTCAGTCCTCTCTTTTGGAAGGAAATCTCAACCTGTCATTGTGTCTCTGGTCGGGTGATATCTACTGAGCAACGTATATCTTCCCCTCCTCGGTGGGTGCGTTTTGTTCGCCCTTCTGGTAGAACTTCACGCAGCGATCAGCTTTAAGTCTCTTGCACTTGGCGAGGTACATGGCTCCTGGCAGAATTGATGAAACCACGACCGTGTCAGGGGAAACCAAACCCTCTTGATAAAACAAAAGAAGATCTGCCTGGGGCTGAATTCGACTGGGTTGAACCGAGCCCCTTGCATACCTTACTACGCCTTCAACTCGTTGGGGGGTTGTGTCCCACGGTTCAGCGCGCCACACAAGTCACAGGGCTTCAACCGGGCAGGTGAAACATCGCTGTGGGTGCCAGGGCTTTGAAATTGCTCTGGGCAAAAAAGTCGGCTAAACCAGCGCGATAGATGGCACTGTTTCCGCAAGCCCGCAAGAAAGGATGAAGCAAATTTCCGGAGCGTTGCGCTGTACCCAGACCGGGTCCCTCCCGAGTGCATGGCCAGAGGAAAGCTAGTACCTCCCTGGCAAACTAAGCATGGTCTCGTAAGCCAAAAGATCGGGATTCGCTGGAGCAAACGGAGGCCGTTTAACACCTATGGCTTGCAAGCGGATTCCTTGACGGATGCATCCAATAACCACCTGCTTTACAAGTGAGTTCTCAAGATCAGCTGCAAAAAGTGATTTATGTGGCCCAAAATGCGAATGAAACCAACCATTTTCGGGGCCCCCGATTTTGAAGAAACACCCACATTCTGCCTACCCCAAACATGCAAACTAGTCTTAAAGGCAGAGTTGGGCTCGCAACCTTCTCATGGCTGCAACGCCTTGTGCCCATGTCAGAAGTAACCCACCGGGTGGTTTGGATTGGTAGAGGGGCTACCCCTGGCTCTGGTGTCTAGGAAAGCTTCGCCAAACCCAATCCAAACCATCCGTTTTGAGGGAAGCTGACAGGAAGCCATGGGGAAGCCACAAAACACTTGCCAACATGCTCAGCCAACTACCCCACTTCCCGAGTGCGCTGGCCAAAAAAGGGTCCGAACTTCTTCTTTACCAGCGGCTACAGTCCAGGAACTCAGGGAGCCAGTCGCCCAATTAGAAGGGCCCCGATTCTCTGAGTCGAGTCCTTGTCCTCCCTCGCCCAGCTTGCGACTGATGGTATAGGCGCTCCGCAGTCGCTTGCTGGGGATGTCCAGGTCGGGGGTGGCGAACCCAAGGGCCTTGCAGTGCTGAAACAGCACCGCGCGCACCAAACCTCGGGCGCTGCCCTAAGACTCTTTGGGAGCGAAATCGGTGGTTGGGTTCGGTTCAGGAGGGGTTTCCCATTTACCCTCCACAAGAAGGGGTTCAAATCCAAATTCAAACCACCAATCCAAACCACCAATTCAGGGTTACCTGAAAACCTCAAAGCACGGGGAAAAACCCGGCAGCTTCGTTTTGCAGGTTGATCTTAAAGCAAAGACTAACAACTGGTGGAAAAGCGTGCTAATTGGGTTCAAGCTTCTTTAAACCAACACCCGCAATTTGTTTTATATTGAATGCCAAAGGATCGTAAAATTGGCACTGGCTGAAAATCGGTGGGGCCAAGTCTGTCAAATTGTGGCTTGAGGGACAACACCCACTGAAGGGAAAAGGGGCACATCCCCACTGGTTGAAAAATGCAACGCTAAACCTCCCCCTCCCCATACCTCGTTTCCCAAGAACCCAAGTGTTTTTTTGGGGTGGGACAGCGGGCCTGCATTTGGCCAGAAGTTCCCTACATTGGGTGATCTAGTGCAATCGGACGAAATGCCCTGTGGAAGGCCAACTGACCAATGAAAGGAGCTGAAAATGGAGCTTCCCAGTTAGTCATGTACCACACCCACCCACCCGCCCGCCCGCACCACCCACTCACCCACAACAAGCACACACACACAAACACCCTCCCACCCCCACACAAACAAACAAACAAACACCCAGCCAGCCAGCCACCCAGCCACCCAGCCACCCACCCAGCCACCCACCCAGCCAGCCAGCCAGCCAGCCCACCCACCCACCTGCTGGCGAAGCACACTTCACCTCATCCGGATCCAGGCTGCCATCGCAATCTGCGTCAAATCTGGCGAAAAGCATCTCTGGGTCCACCTCCAAGCTCCGGCCGACCATGTCTTCCAAGCCTTCCAGAAGAAGGCCCACCTCAGATCTATTGAGAGATGGCTGGACAGAATGCTGGAGAGACATACCGGATTTGAAACTGAATATGCCCTTTTGTCTCAACAACACTGCATTTTTTCCGAGAGGCCGGTACCGAGAGTAAAAAAACGTGTCTATAAAGAACTAGAATGGGGCTGCGGCGCACTTTAACCCGAATCTATAAGCGTAACACATTTGTGTGTAATGGTGACAACTGATTGGTAACCCCCCCCTCCCCCGCTTCAAGGTCGACAAGGTTTGGACAAGTCCCCAAATCTGAGATGTTTGGGAGGACCCCCCTGATTAATCTCGAGCCCCTTCGGTCCTCGTCCTCTTACTTCTTTGAAGGGGGGTCCCTTTGTGAGCTTGAACACCTTGTCATTTGAAACAAATGTTAAAAAAGAACAGTGCATTTTGGGGGAAGCACATGTTGGACGAAAACTTGAGGGGCTCAATAGTGACTTAGTATTGGTGGGCTTAAGCACAGACTAGGCAAATACTGAGCAAGAAGGACAATCCCTTTTCTGGCAGGTTTTTTTGGTAATCGGGGGGGAGGTTTGGGGAGAGCCCAAAAGTAATCGGGTACATTTTTTTGGGGACACCTTGTTGTCCCTTTACTTTAGTATTGGTGAGAACCTGGGGGGGAAACGGGGACACCTTTAATCGTAGCGGGGGGGGGGGTTACTACTCGTCTCATGACATTATCTCGGCTCTTAACAACTTCCTCCGATTCGCGCGGTCTTTGCTTGCCCAAGCCGCATCAGCTTCTTGCAGCGTGGTGTCCCCAACACCCAGCTGATCCACCAAGTTGTCCAGTTGGCCTGCGAACGCTTCCCTTGGCATACACAAAATGGGAATCCAAATCGAGCTGGGCATGGGTCAAAAATTAAACCAGCAGGAAATGGACCGCAAATGTTAGTCCATGTTTCCATTTACCAGGGTTCCATTTTGGGTACCTATTTTTGACCCACAGCCAGCTGACTTTCCAAGTAGGGACGGGTTAGTGAATGTCCTAGCAATTGACACTGCATGAATGTCCTCGCTGCGCCCGCAAAGTTGGACTTCTGCGGGTTGCAGGTTGTTTTAATGGCTGCTTTACAGTGGCTCTCAGCCTGTTGCGTTTTGTTTTGTGGCCTTTTACGGGTTTTCTTTCCCTTTCCCAACAAGCCCTAGAAAGGTCCGGTCTAACGAGCAAACATCGTCATGATTGGTGGGTGAGCTCGCTTTGTCGCAAGTGAGCACGCCATAAGTTGCGCAAAACGTCCTGGGCTGTCCGTGCTGAAGGATTGTGCCACACCCTTCCAGGACAAAGCGCTTCTCCCATAATTTCCATCAAGGCGTATGCGTCATGTGGGTCCAAATCCCCAGTGAACATCCTAATCCCCACTAAAATGCACGAGAATCCTATGATTGGTTTTGACAACCACAGCCATGTGTCCCACGCATTGGCTGAATCGCCCCTTCCCCTTCCCCTCCGAGCCAGCCCCTACAGCTCTCCCAGTCCCCCCCCCCAATCAGGGAAGTTCCTCCAGCAGAGAGGTTAGAGCAAGGGTACCCGATTTTTTCTGTAGTCTATTTTAGTAGCTTTTGCCCGGCCCGACGGGAGTGCCCCAAGTGTTCTGCTGCGTGGCCATGGGAGAGGGACATTGTTTCTTCTGGAGGAAGATGTTGAAGGGAAACCCTCCAGAGAACCAGGAACAATGACAACTCTCTTTTCGGTTGGTTTGGTTGATAATTTTTGGTTCTTCACTGGTAGCCCTCCCCCCCCAAAAAAAAAGAAACAAACACGAAACACAAAACAGGCGAGCGCATGCCAGTGGGCCACTAGGATGTATGACCTGCTGTGGATCCTGTGGATTTAAAGCATTTCGCAGATGGAAGCACCGGCGCCTACATTGTTTCCACCCCTTGAGCTTTCGCTAAGCCCATCGGTAAGCCCGCCAAAGAGGCAATTCCATGTGCTAAGAACAGAAAAAGTAAGCGGCCCACGACTGACTCTGCGTATTTGACCCACCCTAAACTCACTTGCCCAGTTTGGACTTTTTTGAAGGCGATCGCGTGTTTGCCAAAAACGGAAAAACCGAGAAAGAACCAAAAACGGTCGATTCGCTTTTGGCAACTCGGTCAAACCTCACTTCCTGAGTGCATTGGCCAGAAAAAGTCTACACTTTCTATTTACAACTAGAATGATCCGAACCCAAAAAGCGACTCAAGTCCAGACGCTCAGGAAGTGAGAGTACGGGTGTCTCCTTTTTTCGGCTGGCGCCCAAAAAACCCTAGGTCCTCCAGTAGAGAGGTTAGAATCAGTTGGTACCCTTTCTTCTGTAGCCTATTTTAGTAGCTTGGAACCCTCCCCCAAAAAAGTTGGTCAAAGGGCCTCCCCAAAAAAAGGGGTTAAGAAGGGCACTGCTGGGGACCTGGAACCACGAGTCGTAGCCAGGCCTGGGCTTTTGATCAGCTCCCACAACTTCAGCTCCTCAGCGCCAGCCTCCGGCAGCAGCCTTCGCCGCTTCGCCGGCGGGCAAAGGCGCCGCCCTAAGGATGCGAGGCGACTTTTTTGGGTGTTTTTCAAGTGGGACTGCGTGACGTTCTCTTAGGCTGGCTGTCAAAAACAGAGGCGTTGCCAATCTTGATGCTGCACAATAAGAGCAAGGGAAGCTCGGTGCTTCACCATTTGTTGAGGTTGCGCACTTGCCTTCTCATTGACAAGCTCGGACTGGTCTGTCTCTGTGTCTGTTCAAATTACGTTTTTTTGGACTCCGGAGGCTGTGCCGGACCCACTCTGAAGCATAGGGAGGACAATATGAACTACAGGGAGGAAATGTCCATGTTCAAGGTCCATCTGTGCAGCAGCACTGCTGTCTGTTGGTGTGAATTGCGCTACTTGGCAAACCTGAAATGCGGAATCCGCAATTCAGGGAACTTCATCATAGGTCACAGCGTTTTACCTCCCGGGTAAGCCTTGGTCAAAGAACAAAACGAGTAGGCGCACAGTACCGAAGAGGAACGTGCATACAAATCCAAACATGTAAATATACACGTTTCACGAAAGCACATGCTAAGAACAGTCGCAATCTCGATTCGTTCATATCCAGAAAACAAAAGCACCCCAATTACCCTATCAATCAGTATTTGTTGCCCCCCAAACAAAAACATAGGGATATTTATATGTATATATGGATGGCCATGGGCCAAAAGCCCGTACCCCCTGTGAACATCCCAATCCCCACTAAAATAGACTAAAATGGATGGTGCAATGGTACCATTGGCTTTGACCCACAGCCATACATGTGTAAATATGTATTTTTCGTTTAATTTTTTGGGGGCGGCGATTGCCTTAAAGTCCTGCACCATGTGCCGTGGATGGAAACTCTAGACATTTTCTGGGACACAGCCGCAAAGTACTTAGAAAGGGGTTGGTAAGCCTGGCAATAACCCACTTACCATGATTGTAAGTCTCCCAAGTGGGTTCATGGTTAAGTCTCCTAAGTGGTGTTTAACCAGGCTTGCTAACGACTTACTAAGTACGCGATCGCCCCTTTAAGTACCAACGGGTGCGTGGCGCACATTCTGGTCCATCCATAGGCCGAGCGTCGGCACGCTACCCGCAAGTCAGTGCTCACGTGCTGTCCCATGGCGCCAAAGGGCGGGGGGGGGGGGGGGGCGAAACAAAAAAAATGCGAAATAAATTTGATGCTAAAAGGGGCTGCTTAAAAACAGAGGTGCTGGAAATGATCTGGTAACTTTGGGAGGGGATGCTAAAACAAAGGAAAGGCTGCAATTTGGGTGGGAGGGCGGTTTTCGCTTGTGGCAGTGAGTTGAAGGGCTTGAAACGTCTGGGTTGGGGGGGGGTACACGCTGGAACTACTCCTTGGGGTCAAAGACACGCCCGCAAGAACCGCCGCTCATATGGCTGCGGGCAACACGAATGGTACCATTTTGGGGTAGGTGCACCGCCCATTTTAGTCTATTTTAGTGGGGATTGGGATGTCCACTGGGGGTACGGGATTTTGAACCATGGCCATGTGTCTGAAAAAACCGGGAACCCCAAACTTTACATCCACAGAAACAGCGGACAACCGGCCAAGCAAAACGCTCATAGGACCTCCGGCGGGCATTCCGGTGGACCATCCCCTGTATGGAAGTAGACATCGAATTGTAAGGAGGCAGGCAACCGTCTTCTTGAAAAAGGCATAAGCCAAAAGTCCACAATAATTATTGGGAAGAGGGGAGACTTTGTTAAGTACGGTGATTCAACTTTGGCAAAGGCTGACCTATCATGTTAGGGGGCTGCCTCTGATTTGCATGCGCTGGCTTGACGGCTTTCATGGACGCAGGCAGGCTACGAATGACCACATGCTGAAGTTGCCGCAACAGTCCACGGGTGCCACGGGGTGAATCAGCGGCTTTAAAGTTGCTGCCACTCACATGAACGTCCACCTGACCCGCCCAGTCCCCCAGTTCCCCTGGTTACCTGGTAAGGCTCTTGCAGGCAAGCACTATAAACGCCTTGAGGGGTATATGAACATTGCCTTCATCAACGGCCTCGAGGACCTTAAAGGGCCACGGGAAAAGTACTAGCATCATTAAAAGGCACGTGCTCGTTCCTTGGGAAGGCAAAGAAGAGCAGCTCAGGAGACCACCAAAAATGGTTCTCATATTGGCCTCCTTTGAGGTGGCTGAGCATATGCATAGGAAAAGGTCCTTGTGATCTGTCACGGCCCCGGCTGGGAACCTGAAGAATGAACAATCTTAACATGTATTGGTTTCATACACGATTATCAATTTGACCTAGTGTATGCAAGCTGACCAAACGGCACAACACAAGCAGGCGATAACTCTTTTATCCAAGCATTGTGTTGGTGCCAGGGACTCATCTTCCCTTTCATGAGTTCCAGGTTGGGTGGTCCTCCGTGCCACCCACTTCAAAAATCCTGGACAGGAAAATAACCGGTGTGCAGACTGATTGCGCCCCCCCTTCGGCCGGGCCGGAGGCACCCAGGCCTCAGGGAGTCTGCTACCTAAGGGAAGTGAGTCACCCACCGGCTCCGGTCACGGGGGTGGGTCCGCGCTAAGGTCAAACGTATCTCCATTAAGAGACGCGGAAGAAAGGTAAAATCTTCACACAGCTCCGGTTTCGGAACTCTGTGCGACTGATCAAATCCTGCAAAATCAGGGTGGGTTAGTTCGTCCGGCCACATATTGAATTCACGAGGCACATGATTGACTGCCAGAGAGCATCCGTGCCTGTGTAGCAGGAGTACCAGCTCCATCAGGATAGCCGCGGTGTAGGGATTCTTGGATCCAAGGTTGAGCATTGCCATCACGTTGCCCTGGTTGTCACTGCCTACCGGGAGTCTCACCCTGGAGGCCAAGGGGCCCTGATGCGTGAGGATCATGTTGCAGAGGAAGAGCGTGCCTAGCATCTCCAGTGCCGCAATTCGCCGCTTGGGATCCCCATCCTTGAATGCGCAGGGGTACGCTCGCATCACTGCACCCCCACCAGGACGACTTTTGCAGATATGGGGAGTACTGAACGAAGGGCGTGTTGAAGAGGAGGCGCAGGATGAAGGCCAGCATCCTCACCACCTTGGGTGGCTTCCCCACCGTGGTGGTAGCCATCTTCCACGCCCAGAGCGGTTGGAGCATGGACAGGCCGAAGTCGCCCACTGGATGCGACCCAAGGCCTTCTCGATCTCCTTTGCGTGCATCGCCTGGCCTTCAACCATGATCTGCAGGACCTCCATCACCAGGATGTGTTTGTTGGCTGCCATGAGAACCTGTGGGAGGTTGGGATGGACCACAAAGCCCAACTCCGCCAGGTGCGTCTTCTTCCAGCGTAGCCAGCACTGCCGCCGCCAAGTTTACGGCCTCTTTGATGCGTAGCAGCCATAGGAAGTCATCCACAAACACGAAGTTCCAGTCCACTTGAGGGAAGAGCAAGTACAAGATTCTGAGTAGAAGGGCCGCCAGGCGTCCCCAGTAAGACTGGGCACTGGCCATGCCGTAGGTACCAACCTTGTTCACCCACCACTCATCGCCCAGGGAGCCAACCTGGAAACGCCAGTCCTTCCGGAGAACCTTCACTCTCCTCTGAGCCTTGGTGACGTCCGCCTTGAGTAACATCCACCGGGTGCCAGGCTCGGGCCCCTGCCACCTCCGTCCAATCCCGGGGCCGGAGGGATGGGGGCCCTCTTCTGCTGCCGCGTGAAGTGAATGGAGAGCTTGGACTCCATCCAACACTGTGGGGCCGTTGTGCGCTCCACCGTCTGGTTCCGGATAATGTCATTGGCCCCCCCCACCGATCCATCATAGATGGTGCGGACCTTGTCTCCCTCATCGATGCCGGCTAGGGGACCTGGGCACAGCTACAATCGCAGCGCTCCGCAGCCATCTCCTTGGACATGCCTCCGGCCCCGTGGCTGCTTGGCCCCCCCGCGAACCACAGGCCCGCAGGAGCCAGAAGAGGGCACGCAACGAGCGCGAGGGGCCAAGAAGGCCACCAGTGGGGGGGGACTTTGCAGGGTGCCTCCGGCCCCAGAAGCCCCCACACAGACAAGTGGGAGTGGGTCCAGCCAGGGCACTCCAAAAGGACGGAACACACAGACGAGTGGGAGTGGATCCAGCCAGGGCATTCCAGACGGATGGAAGCATTCTTTTCCCCCGCCCCCGCCAAGGCATCCGGCAGGACAGCCCAACAGGAGTGACAAGGCCACGCAACGGCAGCCGCAAAGAGGACCACCCCCCAGAGAGGCACCCATCCCTCCGCAGAAGCGAGGATCAACCCCATGCTGGGGAGACCGAGAAGACGGCGCCGTTCCTGAGGAGGCCAACCCCACTTTCCCTTGGAGGAATGAGGTTCCGCAGAGACTAAGGTCGCGACTAAGGTGGCGCCAACATCAATTCTGCTGTATGCGGGCAAGGAGGACGCTGGGGCTCTGGACACCTACATCCACGCCTACAACCCGGCGATCTCGGAGTACATCTGGGCGGTAGACATCAGGAGGAAAGGGGGAAGCCTGGGGCATGCTGGCGGACGAACCCTTCTCCACGATGTGCTCGATGGCCAAGGCGGGCAAGGTGGCGTTTGTGGGCGGCGGCCCCAACTGCCGAACATGGAGCATCCTCAGGTGGTTCCCGAAGCCGGGAGGCCCCCACCAGTGAGACGGAACAGACCCTCTGAAACCTGCCAGACCTGGAGCCCCAGGTGATGGAGGACAGGGACAATGACAGTGTGCTCATGCTTAGGCAGATGTACCTCACGTCCCTGGCCTACCAGGGATTGGGTGGGAGGACCATGCTCGTCATTCTTGGAACACGTAATGGATCGTATGGAATGCAGCAGGAGCCCGAGCGCAATCTGGGTCACGAGGGCCTACATCGGGTGGGCCAACTCGATCCACCACTCTCTCATCAAATTCCACGAGTGCCGCCTCGGCCAAGTTGTGGTGAAGGCCACGGCCCTTTCTACTGATCTACCACTTCATCACTGGCATGGCCTTCGATGTAATCATGAAGAACACCCTAGACGGGAGAAACTCAACTCCAGCGATCTCAGTCGTTACCCGGAAGAGATGATGCAGGGCCTGGCGGCGGCGATCGTGTGCAGGGCGGGGCAGCGCTTCGCTGCGGTTTCCTGTCACTTGCGGCGTGCCTCATGCCAAGTACGGTCATGGAGGAACTGCTTCCAGGGGGTCATGGGACTCCACCACACCCAAGAACTCCGCCCAGCGACCCGGGGAGGCCACACCTGAGGACAACCGTAAGGATGCTAATCTTGGCGCCCATCGATGCTTCCTGCGACAAGGGCCTCGTCCACGGAGCCAGTCTGCCCAAGGAAGGCTTGCCACAACCGTCCCTGAGGGGTGCAGCCGGATCGGATAGACTTGGGTCATGTGTGATCGGCAGTATCGTGGGTCTGTCCACGATCCCCTTGCATTGCTGTGTCCATTGATGCAGGGGTAGTGCTTGGCCCGGTGTAACTTCGAACGTGTCCCCGCCCAACATGACCTTGTCATCCTCCTGGTGGCCTAAGGCCGATCCCGGCAGGGTGCCCAATGTGAGACCTGCCAAAGCCTGTTTGCCCGCCTTCCACCTCGCAGACTGGCGCCTCCTGGGGAGAGAGACTTCAGGAGTCACTTTCAGTGGGAGAAGGGACACCCCTTCCCAGAGGATCTGCTGCATAGCATTCGGGAGATCCTTGCCTCGGAGAAAGGTGGGCTGGACGTCCTGCACAGCCTGGCAGCTGACATTCAGGACCCGGACTTCCAATTTCCCCTTGGGGGTCACTGGTGTCTCCGGGCATCTGGCCGCTCAAGAGTGAGCTAAAAGGTGAGGACCCGGAGTTCCAGCAGCTTCCAAACCCTTCGGGCCGAGGAACTACCCCTCTGCGGACCACTTCCAAGAGCTCATCCGAAGCACCTTTGTGGAAGAGGTTCCCATGAGCATGGTGGAAGGCCCCACCCCACCCCCCCCCTCGAGCCCACCGCTGCGTGCGCGTGGCGCGCAACAGGCTCTGGTTGGGCTCTCCGGAATACGACCGGGAAACTCACAAGGGCCAAGTATTTCAATCCAGCACAAGTCCTTGTGGGGGTCCTCTTCATCAACTTCGAGGAGGCTACCTTCATGGACCCCTCTTAGGGGGCCCTTCCC